TCCTAAGACAACAATTTATGTTTTTTAACATATTTTTTTTAACATTTGGCGATTATTTTGGCATGGCTTTTTGGCCACTGATTGCTGTAGATATATTTAAAAAGTTTGGAAAATTATTGCTGGACTAAGCTCTAAGAAATTAATTATTCAAAACTAATTTTGAAATCAGTAGTTTTCTTCAGCCCATTTGACAAGTCTGATGCTTGCAAGTATCTGATGTTTTGACAAGTGTAACACTATTATTGAGTAATGTTTTTACTAATTTATTACAAATTGTACATGGTAACCTACTTCGTTTTTGTAATGATAAAAAGTCAAAAGAATAATCATAAACCTTTAAACTGACCTTAAACCTTTAGTACTACTGTTTTATTCTTTCCCCTATAAAAAAGTAATTTCTGGCCATATATGGCCATATCAAAATTCCATATATGGTTTTATAAAGCCATATATGGGTTTTGATGAGCATATATGGAAGCATATATGGCCAGATGTGGTTGTATCCATATATGGTGGTGTCCATATATGGCCATATATGTAGTATATATATGGAATTATTGTTCATATATGGCCATACATGTTTTCGATATATGAAATAATTGTTCTTATATGGCCATACATGTTTTCTATATATGAAATAATTGTTCATATATGGCCATACATGTTTTTCTATATATGAAATAATTGTTCATATATGGCCATACATGTTTTCTATATATGAAATTATTGCCCATATATGGCCATACATGTTTTCTACATATGAAATTATTGTTCATATATGGCCATACATGTTTTTTATATACGAAAATATTGCCCATATATGGCCATAAATATCCTCCATATATGGAATTATGGTCTATATATGGTCATATATGACTCCCAGGTATGAAATTAAATTACTCATATATGGAATAATAATTTTCCATTTATGCTCATCTATAAATGAGTTTTTGACAATAACTGGAATTATTATAAGGGATTGTTGCCACTTTAGGATTATGTAACTCTCAAACTCCCAAACACTTCTTATAATATTAAAAATCTAAAGTTTATCAGTTTGTGTATTTTCTTGTTGCTCTCCAAGCACAAACTACTTAACTGATTGAGTTGATATGTGGTACAGTAAGGGGGCAGATAATATAGGCAATTCTCCTTTAAAGTAATTATTAGTAAAGAAATAAAATATCCAGATTTGAACCCTGATGACAAAATCCTGTACATACATCTATTGTACAATTTTATTATAACGCAACAAAATCTTAAAACTGACGTATAATTTTAAAATTGTAAGTGTAGTAGGCCTAAATAAGGAGAATATTATATTAATAATTAATTAATTGTACCTTTGCTATCAAATAGTTGCAAATATCTATGTCACGTAGTTAGGCTATATTAATAATAACATTCTTCAAATGACATAAAATGTCTAAGAAAAATCTTGTTTTACGAGACCAAATACAGCTTCTCTTATTCGTAATGGGTTTTGATCATCCACATGATATGAAGCAATCGTGGTGTAGTGGCTAAGGGGGCAGACTCTCACGCCGGAGTCCCGGGTTCTATTCCCAGTCAGATGCTTAAGAATTTTGTTTTGCAATTTTTGAATTTAAAATTTTTATTATAGTTTTAATTTATAGTTTATACCATTTAAGGTAAAAATATGTTTAATTGTTATTTTTTTATTTATTTATATATTTTTTATTAAAAAATTCCATATATGGAGGATTCCATATATGATCATATATGGAGGATTCCATATATGATCGGATTCCATATATGATCATATCTGGTTGTATTTGGTCCAAAACCAAATATAACCGGATAAAAAAATTTTTATATGGCCATATATAAACTTTTTCATAAGGGTTTACTGCTACTAGGCCTAAGTAAACACACCCTACATATTTATAATAGTTTACACCAAAATGTTATTATAACACTATACCGCTTATTGAAACTTTAAACTACAACTATTTTTGAAAGATCTTGTTAGAGATAAATGTATATAAACTTTCTAAAGTCAGCACAGCTAAGCTACCTACAATGTAAAATTTAAACTTTAAAATAAGCTCGCAACTGTAATAAGTTTTTACAATTTTTCATGTATGTTATCAATATGTTTTGGTACATATGCCCAATGAAAGATTTTAATTGTTGTTAGAATCATACACTAAAAAAGTAAAGAGTTTTTTACTTTACCGTACAATATTTACAACTCCATACATAGGATTACTATTTATGATGGAACATATATTTATTTTGATTACACTAACTACTTTTATTCAATTTTCTTGGACCGAGCTTGAATATTACTAAATGTAATTGCCTAATTTTGTTACTAAATACGAGGGGGCCTATTGTTATCATCGACTAACATGTATACTAATTATGTGAAACTAATTTCTACTAAAAACTTCAGGTAAACTAGTAGAGATTTTATAAGATCGAATTTCTATTATGTTTACCCAAACTACTAACTAACATTTAAGAGGAATTGCCTAGTGATAAAATTTTCTTTTGGCTATTTCCATTTTTAAGAATTGCACATACAGTATTATGCACACAGATTACACAGAAAAAAATTTAAGTTTAAATAATTTATAATCTCAAAAAAAAAAGGAAATTATTAAAACATGTAATCTATTTAAATTAGAAAATACAGGAAGACATTTTTTAAACAAAATTTATTAATAACATATTGAAAAAAAGTTTCAATTTTTACTCCTGTAGACAAGTTTGTTCACATTTTTGTGTTTTGAGTTTGGACATCAAAAGTGGAAAAAAACTGTTAATAATAAATTGACAAAACCAGCAACAATATTTGTTATTTTAGAATTAATTTTTTCCTATGTAGGTAACCAATGTGGAAAGCCAAATTGTAGTAAAACTATATATTAACTTAATAAAGATGGTACATTTTTAAATATTTTTCAAAACAGTAGAATCTAAAGGTACGTTTTCCAATCCTAAAAAGTTTGTGCCGGGCAACACATATGCCCGCTGTGTCCCCGGCACAAATCTCCGAATTTGTAGGAATGGAAACAGCCTGGCACAAGTGCCAGCCGACTGTAGGACAAAACATGAGCCTGAGTTGCTGGAACACGTGCCCAGTTGGAATGGAAATGGCCGGGCAAAGTATGTGCCCGCAACTCACGCATGCGCAGGCCTGAAGAGGAACTACTGTTGCCACATACTTTAAAATTTTAAAAGCCAAAGGACGTAAGCATTTCAAAAAATATCATACAAACCCAAAAAAAGGCCCATCTAAGATAAAACCTTGATTTGATACCGAATATGTCTAGAGAAATATTTAGGGGTTGATAATTAAGAACAATACAAAACAAGAAAATTATTTCATCTATAGTATATATGTAGATGGATAGATATTAGACTTATTCAAGGTTGTATAAATATTTGTCGGATTGATTCTTATCTGAATGTAGCTTTTAAAAAATTACAGCAATGGCTTTGTTTGCACACCACAGGTATGAATCTTGATATCGTTGATTTAGATTTCCTGTGATTGTGAAGGTACACCGATGAACTGTAGCTATTACCCGTTGCTAAAATTTGTAGTGGTAAGTTAACTAACATTTTTCCAGGAGGAATAGGTTTTCAACAATCGCTGTTTTTCTCAATTTCCTGTACATTCAGTTTTATCAATAACTATAAATTATTAAGTCATAAGAAAAAATTTTGAAGCCACTTTGTTGCCTCGAGCATGTACCTGCGACTTGTAGTAATGGAAACGTCGCTTGAGTGTCCTTCAAAATAATCAACAGCCCTAGCAGAAGAGAAAACTGATTTCTAAACTGTTCAGTACTATTATTTCATTTATTATTTTACAGTTTCAACTAAACCAATTCAAGGTTATCTTTAACACACACATCACTGAATATTTCCTAAATGGACAATAATTATAATTAACTGTAAATTTGTGCATTGATTCTGTATAATGAGCAAATATAGCTACAACAGCGTTAAATATATACAACCATTGATATTTAGAATAAACTTTTTGTCTCAGACAAGTTTGAGACTCAATAATAAAAATAATAATAACTATAACATTCACACTCTCACTTTACAAAACAAGGATCCTTTCATAAACTTTAAAAATAGGAACTGGCGGCATAATAAACTATGTAAAATGCAAATAATACATTCAATGGTGAGTACAATACATTAATAATAATATAAATGTAAATAATATAAAATAAAACAAGACAAGCACACATTAAGTATGATAAATAAAGTACCGTAGCCTATAAAACATCCAGGTACAAAACTTATAGATAAGTAAAAATATTTTCAAACACAACACATATCATTTGTTTACCAATGACTGATTATTGAATAAATAAAATCTCCTAGGGCTAAGTGAACAAGTGTGGTTTTTTTACCCATTTTCAAATCTTTGTTCAATTTATCAAGCTGTATATTTAAAACCAAACTGGGTTTGTATGTAGTCTCAAACTCTGTACAAAATGATTAATGTGATCTATCAACACTAACAGCTCAACATCTGGCACAATAATATAATTGAAATTTGTATATACAATATTTACATTAACAATAACAAAACTCAAAATTGTAACTAAGTTTATATAAAACAATAAGACTTATATCGTACTTACAAATTCACTGACACATTACATAATAAGCTACAACATTAGAAAAGGTACAAAAATGATTATTTAACCTATGGCAGTTTTATTAATAAGAACTCAACTACCGGTAACCTAATTGCTATTTTATGGCAGTTGTTTTTGAGAATAGTTTCAAATAAAAAATTAAATTAAATAATACGTTTAAAATGTTAACAAATAGATGAGATTCACAAACTTGTGTGAAATATATTAATCACTAACCCTCCAGTGATTTATAATACTCATTATCACAACATAAATTACAGTTTACAAATAATCCATTACAAATAAAGTGTTTAAATTAACTGATCCATAACTGGGAAATCTTTTTTTCCTGAAAAAGATCAAGTTTCAACCTCCAATACTTGGAGATCATCAAAAAACTGATTCAGTTACCACTCATTAAGCCAACTTAGGCTTCTCTCATCAGTGGTAACCCGTTTACGGCCCCAAATTTAGGAGCCTGAGTGAACCGTTTACCTCAACATTCTACCCACACTCCCCTAGTGTGGTGTATGGGGTGTGTGTGGTCGGGGAGGGGGGAGAGCTAGCGGAGTCATCGAGGTATCCAGTTTTCGAGCCTCGTGTTCCAACAGGCCTGCGTCTAGCGAGGGATCTTGCGACACACGAGACAACGAATCACCCAACACTTGTCGCAGCTGCTGCGCCTCGCGTCCCATGCGCGAGCTGCGCAGCACATACATCTGTCTGCGTTTCACCTCCTGGTTCAGCTGCTCCCTTAACAACTGGATCTGAGGAAACAAACAGTGGTTGGTAAAATATTACCAAACACTTTTTTGGAAATTTTTTGCTAAAGAGTAATATGATTATTGATGGATGGAAGGTATAAAGTTGATAGTAGTTAGGTAGTCATATGGAATTCAGTGCATTATTATTCCCTTTTAGCTACTAAAAAATCAAGATTCCATTAATTTTTAAGTGCAACCCCAAAGGAAGCGCCTTTAATGGCAATTGTATGACACCACTAAAAGGAATGGGTCACATCCTTCAACATGAATACCTGAGGAAGATGCAATACACCTTAATGCTCAATCAATGGGGTGCAACATTGCCAAAGTAACTTTGACAAATCATGAATCTTTGTTCATATTATAGTCTGTATGATGAAACCTGTCCTCTGACCCTCCGTCTACCTGAGGCTGGCCTGGCCTCAATCCATCGTCCAGTCCACAGGTAGTGGGAGGGTCAAGTAGACAGAGTATAAACTGTGCTTTATTTTCGACTACTTCGCATTGTTTCACCTGACTCTCCAGCCGCTGAACCTGCTGTCTGTGTGATTGTTCCCTCGCCTCCAGTAGCCTCTCCGCTTGCAGCTGACCTGCACGGTACTTCTCTAACTCTCCACTCCGATCTAACGTCGACCTGGAGCATCCCATGAAACAAGACATCAGGAGTCTTCCAATATCAGAATGGACATGACAATAATTATTTTGGTCTTAAGAGATGATTCTACCTTTAAATTTGTCATATCTCTTCTTAAGTTTAAGATAAATATGCTCCAAAAGCTGTGAACATTTTTTAATACAATTAATTGGATGCACTATGTATCGATAGTCTTAACCAGTTTTATGTCTAGCTGTACTCAGTCTACTGGCTGTGGCTTTTTAACATTATCATGGATAAATTTCAAATCAGTTGTCCTAGCTGCTTGGGTGGAAGGTTTGGTTTTACATAAAAAAAAGTTGTTGTAATGTCTGAGCTGAGTTGTGATACTTGAGCACTTTTGAAACTAAACTATAGTGAGAACAAGTAGTGGGAAGAAACTGATGATGACGGTTAGGTAGTACGTGTTCAGGTTTACATAAAAAATCTTAAAATTCAAAAGAGAACAAATCAAATCTTTACTGACAAAAAATGGTTTCTATGATATGGAAGATTTTCTAAATTTCACAAAAGAACCCTTGGGCCTAGAATGTGATTTTCATAAAAGGTATTTTTTATTATTATTGTTTGTTTACCCTATTGACCTTTCCAATTCCTGCCACTGGACTACAAGTATTCAAATATCCAAGTAAGTACTGAGTAAGCTTGCCACAAAAATGGCATGCAATCTTATTTTCCTTTTTAACTGATGTATGAGAAAAAGGCAAAAGTTATAGTTTTCAGTCCTCTTTCACTTGTAAAATTTAAAGTAAGAGCGTTGTTACTTTACCTAGAGGAATGATGTTCCATGGATCCTTTGAGTCTTGACAGCTCCGCCTCTTTCTCCTCCAGCAAAGCCTCTAACCTCCGTACCTAGGAATACATAAAAAGAAACTCAGAACTAAATTGCAGATAGGAATTTCAATCGTTTTAATTGTCTAACTAGAGTTTAGGGCAAAACTGCCTAAACACCAGATAGATGTATCAAGAGTAAAAAAAAATGTTAGACTGAAAAAATGCTCTCATTGCAAACACTGATAGTTTTGGTGAAAGATCATAATAAACCCCAATTAAGAAGAAATGATGGAGAAAATAAGGAAGGGTTTGAACAAATGTTTAATGTATGTATTTTCTATTTTCATTTTATTTTAACTTTCAATTTTATTAGTCTGGTTTTGTATGACTAAATATTGATACATTGTCATCATAGGTCAGTAATTTTTGTTTAAACAGTAAGTTACTAGCTGTTTTGGCTGCTCTTTGCTTCGGTAAACTTTTGAATAGTAAAATAAATTCATTACTTGAAAATATAGTTGTAAGAACTGGGTATAATAATATCAAATGATGGAAATAAACAGCCAATTAAATGGCATTCTTGTCCTAGCTCTTTGAGAGTTTCAGCAATTTGTTTTCTCCTAAGTAAAGTTATGTTGTAAGTTAACTGTTGTATTTCCTTGATTTAATTTTGAAAAATTCACTCTCAGGGTGATCATTGACGATGAGTCTACATGTCATATGTGGGGATTCGAGCCGTTTATCAAAACAATAAGGCTCTTTCCCGCTGATGCAACATAACCACTATGTACATAAAGGGAGTGTTGCAACGTAGGCTACATTTTTGCAGCACTACCAAAAAATGACTGTACATTTGGAGACAGTGGCGGCTAGTCCATAAGGACTCTCGGACACTGCCCTCCCAACAATAGATAAATAAATTACATTTGAATATTCTTCAGTTAAATTGAATTAAAATTACTTTGACGAATACTTTAAACAACATACAACATAAATATATCAAATAATCGGATACTTCAATTCAGTAAAGACTTATTTTTGATCGTCGCTAGCTTAGTTAGGACGGCGGCCAGACTGTCCCAATCCCAATACATGTAGTCTTATGGCAGAACAACCGAATATCGCTGAGGGTGCCATGACGTCATTCCAATGTTTTAGGATGGGCGCTTTGGGGCAGAGTCCTAAGTTGCGAGCACACTCAAATTCTCTCAACAATGTTCTCACAAGGCTCAAGAACAAGACCATTCTCAACCCTGAAGGATTGAACCCTGATTGAATTTAGGAGGATCAGTTGAATACAAACAACTCATAAAATGAGGCAATTTACATTTTTATGCAATTCCAAAACTTATGTTCATATTTTATTTTCTTGGATTTGTGTAAAGAATTGGGCTACAGAAACATTATTTAACCTGACAGTGAAATTGGATTCCTCCAGTTTTTTCCATTGACTTCGTTCTTTATATCTACAGTACGGTACAAAACCCAAACAACTACAGCAACTTTAACTTCCATGGCTATATTGGAACTTCCCTAAACGGTAAACACTCGCTTAAACACGTGATGCAACTGTCATGTGTATGCTAAGCTTCACCTTTTCATTTTAAGGCAAACAATTGATCACAAACATTGGCCATGAGCACTGAACTAACAGCCAATTTTCTACATAATATAAAGACAATCTAAACTCTTAAGCTTTTTTACTGTACTGATTTAACAAGTATAAAAACCATTGTGTTCAACGATAAACTATACCAAGCCCAATAGACATGTTAGTATGAAAATTATAAAAAAATAAAATATATTCATGGTTTTTTGGAAACATTTCACACTAACAGCTTGGCCCTCCCACCTTGTGCTTCAACTCCCTGTTCTCCAGATCCAGCTGGTTAGTATCCCGTCCGCTACACAGAGTGTCATGGGAAGACTTGTCTGCTCTCTCAAAACTCTTGCTGCGCGACTGCATCTTGCGCTCCATACTGCGCTTCTCATTCTCCAAGTGACGGACCTGTTGTAGGACAGATTACAGTGATCAAAAGCTGACTCACTTTGGGTCTTAACTACTGGTTATTGACTTATGAGCTGTGAACCCAGCAGCGACCCTCCAACTGTCTCAGCTCATCATTGCCTGGGACTCAAAAGTTGATAGTTTTTACAATGTAACTCTTAATGTTAATTAAATCACCTGCCCACTTATAAATTAATACACTCTTCCAATTTGTATATAGACCTAGTTTAAAACTGAAAATCACATTTGTTCATTGGGGTTGTTCAAATAGATGCATATACTGGAATATAATACATACTTTACTGCCTGTTTGGATATCCTGATACATAAACAAACAGTTGCTAAATATATTTGTGGGTTTCCATTATATATTTATCATATTTTGAAAAGTAAAATAAAAACAAGATTTGAGATGAATACGTTTGTCTATTTAAATGACCACCTACTTGGGGCAGAAGCAAGTAGAATTAGAACATTCTGCCTAGTGGGGTACGGCCCTTGAAGGAACTATTCCAGCATTTGCCTAAGTGAGGAAACTGTACAAAACTTTCCTCAGAGTGGCCGGTCTGATACAGAGAATATTTTAAGGGATTTCCACTGGACAACAGTGGCGCCAGGCTTACCGTGGCCCCCTCAAAAATGTTTGCATAAATTAAAGTAAAAATCAAAGATTTCTACATATCTTGTAATGAATTTTCCGATTATATTTGCTTGCAAGTCGTCCATATAATAATTACGTTTTCTAGAAATATTTACACAATGTTATTTTTTAAATAAATTTTAAATTCCAATACATTTAAAATGCGAATTATTAAAAAATATTCCGGCACCACCCATAGCCACTGGGCGACAAAATCTCAGCACAAGTGTTATTTTATGACCTGGCTGATACCCATACAACATTGGCTACCACACTCAGTCAGATTAATATTAAGACAGAGATACTTGATACTACAGATACATAAGATTCTTAGTTATAAGCACATAAGTTACTTATATTATAGGAGAGTCACGACCCATAGTTTGGGAAACGCTGGTCAACACCTTTATCTTCAAAAGTACTTTTTACACATTTTTAAACAATTTAACAAAAGATTCTGGCTATTTTTGTCACCTTGTCATGCAAGGCTTCCACTTTAATCCTGAGCTCACTCCGCTCCTTCTGCAGACGATGCAGTTCACTGTCCTCACCTCCGGACTCTGATGGCCAGTTGGCCAATCTCAGTTGAGACTCCAGACCTGCTCTCTGTACCTGGGCAGAAACAAAACATCTTAACTCCGATCAAAGCTATGTGATGGCCAGTTTGAATCATCATTGTTAAAATATGGAGATACTCTTTTGGTCATGAAACCAAATGAGGAACAAAAGGGAGGGAGCATAAATAGTTTCAGAACTTGGGACGTTAGTACTGGACTTGGTACACAAAATGTGTCACCAAATAGTGAACCACTCAAAATTGTCAGTTAAAAAATTGACTTAGATCTTCTTTTTTTTGTGATTGATAATGTGGTCAGAAACCAATAGCCATGAAATATTTAAATTTTGTGTGTGTGTGTATGTAATAATGTATTACCTATTCAGTACAGTTTTAAGTAGGCTTTGTTGAACTGCCAGATATTCTGACAGTTCAAAACCAACTTCAGAAATTACATAGCCTAATTACATAGAAAGTTGACTATGAATGGTAATTAGTCTGGTTTTATCCCAGACCTTTAAAGCATCGTTCCCACGACGCGAGGTAGGGCAATTCCACGGATGGATTTGAGCAAGGGCTCATATCAATATACGTCGTGAAAACAGCACGTCCGTGGTCCGAAGTCGGTAAACTTATGAAACATCAAAGGCCTGTGGCTCGTGTTCGGTGCAGGGGGGAGGGAGGTGCACACTGCACTGTTCCCAGCCCATCGGTGAATCTTGAAATGTATGATCCAACACGCGTCGTGGGAACAGTAGGTCCGCAAATGTTCGCATATTCACTGATCCCTTTACTGATCAAGGACATCCGTGGTTTGGCCCTACCACACGTCATGGGAACAAGGCTTAGGACAGTCCACCACGCCATCAGCCATACACACTTTGAGTGGACATTTACATAAATTAGACATAAGGTGTGGCTTGTCTAGTGTCTAGAGTGTTGTCCAATATGCAAGGTTGACATGTGGGATGCCAAGAAGCTATAGGTAACCTGTGATAAATCTTTGAGGCAAGAATAACTTTTTCTGTATCGGCTCTTACTCCAACAAGAGCCATTTATAGATTGTTAGATTGAACATGGTAACTGTCAATAGAAGAATCGAGGATTAGAATTTAAGAGCAGCACAAATATCGGTACTGAAAATTTACCTCACAGTTGGTGAGCTCCTGATTGGTCCTGGCGTGGGTGTCGGTGAGGTGTTGGTGTGCTCTACGAAGCTCTTGAAGCGCTTGCTGCGCCGCGTCTAGCCGCTCGGCCATAACTCTACGCTCATTCTCACTGTTGGTCAGCGACTTCTGCAGCTAAATAAGGAAGAAACAACTAATGAAATCCAAGGAATTATTTTAAAATTGCTATGTTAAATTGTGTAATTAAATCTGAGTGTTTGCTGCATATACCCTCAGCCATACAAGTCTCAATATAATCACTGCTGTTTCAGTGTTTTCAGTTCCTAAAACCACACATTATAGACATCCCAAGAACAAAACAACCTGCGCAGAAGTGAAAAGATCATGTAGTTCGCGCCGGTAGGTGTGGCTTACCCTTCAAACCTGCGCGGCTCGAAATGGCCCAGGGTTCTTTTGTTTCTGGAATGTCTATACGTGTTTAAGTTAAGACAAGAATTTAGACATGTAAAATTTTAACAAGCTTGGAGCTAAAGGAACAATTAAACCTCTTTGTAAGGAAGCTTGCTTCTTGTTAGCTCAAGGGTTTGACTTCTTCTCCTCACCTCCTCACGAGAGGAATTTAAACTTGCTTCCTTAATTGATGTATATTGAAATGAGTATTAGGATTGGGTAATGAATTGGGTAATATGTAAGGTTATCAGGTTTTTTTTTAAATTTCGGAGAACTATTATTACTAGGTCCTTAACACAGGTGGATTTTCACTGAAAATGTTTATAAGCCTTTATCAATGAGTCAATGCATGTACCTGTTTGAGTTTCTCTGTGCTGGTGTGAGAGGTCTGACTGGTATCCTGTAGTGTCCTTTGCAGACTCTGTATCTCCAGTCTCAGCTCAGTCTCAGTGGCTGAGGCTCGCTCCAGTGACATGTTCAGCTGGTCAATGGTCGCCTTCAGAGAGCCGCAGCGTTCCTCCAGCGCGGTCAGGTTACGAGCCTGAGTCTCTGCCTTGTCTGACAGTTTCTGAAAATGGTGGATGTGATTAAAATAATTCTAATAACATCAACATCGGAGAGAAAACATACTCAGTCTATAAAATTACTGTGAAATGTTTGTAAACCAGAGGGAATCAATGCAATTTATTTTATATTGGTAGGAAGCTAATCTAAAGACAAGGGTGTACATGGTATACGGTAAGTATTAGGATTGGTCCACAAACTTGCAATTTAGATGTAACACTGATTCTTCTATTTGCCACCTTTGTAATCAGCTATTACTGTGACACCATTATGAGATGGGGACACTACTAACGCATATTTTAACCCAAATATTATGTAAGGAATGTGAGTGTGAGAGGAGTAAGATGATTAGTGTAGGTTTGGTACTGACTAAGATCAGCTGGTATTCACACCAGAAATGACAAGCCCAATGATCAATAGCTGCTGGGTCTAATATTGAATCAATCAATGGTGGTGTTTTGGACTTTAGAGTCTAGATTGTCATAATTAGGATGGCTTGACAGAATCTAAGGCAATTTAATTTAATATTTTCCATCAAAAAGCTTCTGAGTTCTGAATTTTCTAAGGGATCAAACCGGTGACCTTCTGATTACAGGACCACCACTAATATCACTCAAATGTCCAGCTATTTTGTTGCATATTATTTTTAATTATACCTCCCAATTTTTTTAGATTTAAAAAATTTGTTATGGAACCAGAATTTAATTTACAAAAAGATTTACCTTGATCATAAACTGGACTCACAACGTGTATCTTTGTCTAACCAAGAATATATTGATTGTATTATGTGTAAAGGCATTAAAGGACACCAACTGCTTCTCAGACCAAATGTTTCACTGTTAAGTTATACAGGATGTTACCTTGACATGAGCGTCCTTCTCCTGCAGCACCATCTGGAGTCTCTGCAAGTCTCCATCCAGACTCATCCTCTGCAGCTCTAGCTTGGTAGCCCTAGCCTCCACTCTGCCCAGCTCCTCCTGCAGAGACCGCTTCTCTCCCTCCAGCCTAGCTAGCGACTGTCGCATCTTCTCTAGTTTCTCCTGTTGTATCCATCGTAAAAATTAGGGTGTGTTGCTAGTCTAACAGTTCAACGTAAGGTTTATGGTGGTGATTGGAAGTTTAAATGTGATTGAATTCTGTAAAAGTATATACAACATGGACAGCAGCATAAAAACCATAGAACAAGGCCAACTAAAACCAAACTAGCTTGATGAGTAGCTCAGTAGTATAGAGCTTTGCTAGCTTACCTGAGAACATTAGAGTTAATGAGCTGATACACAATAAAAATTCACAAAACAACGCTGATATATTGTCCAATTATAGGACTTCTTTAGAGAGTTACTTAAAAAGTAAAAAAACTGATTTGCCTTTCCTTAGAGTGATGAAGATGAAGATGTGAGAAGGCAAAAAACACTAATACAAAATTGAACCAAACTCATTGTGCAGTTACATTAAACAACGGATACGTCTAAATCTCTTGTGTGATTCTTAATGTATGGATGAGAGACAAAACAAATATTTAAGAACCACTTTTACTCTTTTTATTCTAGAAGGATTGTAAATTAATTATGTATATCCTCCACAAAATTTGAGTATTTTCAATTAAATGGCTTATTTAAAATCCAATAGTACCAAAAGTAATTTCCATTCATTATTTTTGTTTGAGTTTGCTCCTCGATGCTTGTAATATTTCTTGACCAAAATGTGGGTTTGTCTACTGAAATTAATTAATAATTAAAAATAAGGGCAAGGTTGTAGGTTACAGCATAAGAATAAAACTCCCATAAACCCCATCACCTTAGGAAAGCTTAAGAAGGATACACCTATTAATTATAAACCAATTATATAAGCAAATTATATTTTTACAAGATATGTTGAAAGAAACTGTCTGTAAAAATGAATAAGTGCAACAATACAAAATAAATCAAACAAAACAAGGAAAAATAATAAAACCAAAATAAGAAAAAGATTTATTTTCAAACTAATAACAAACAATAATAAAACAACCAACATAGAGGGAATATACTTAAAAATAGTAAATGTGATTGGTCATGACTGTCTCTTCTTTGGAATTATAAATAGGAACTTCCTACTGGTACAGTGGTAATAACTACCAAAAACTAAAAATATTTTACAATACATAAAATAATAAAGCACCATTAGTTGAGACATGGACAAGATAAAAACAAATATTAAATCTACAATCTATAACAAAATAAACAAGAGGTAGTTAATTTACCATCCAAACAAAAAAATTACTCGTCATGAGTACTAAACCACAATAATTCAAAGCTACTGGTGAGATTAAAAGAAAACAATTGTTATAATAGATCAGTTTTGTCCAAAATAAAGTAGGAAATTTTATAATGTAGATAAATTTGAGTGAGGGGAGTTAAAATTTTGTAAAAAATTATCTAAAAACGACTAACAGTAAATATATATATATATATATATATATATATATTAAAAGGCACATTGTGACAGTTTTCGCTATTCATTACTGTAAAGTGGTTTAATATATTATGCAACAGGTTTATTTTTGGGGGTTATGTTGTAGATTTCCTCCAACTGAGAATCAATGTGACCATTGGTAAAAAAAAATAAGAATATATATTTAAAGTTTACACAGATTTGTAATAATTAGATTTTTGGTATGTGAGGTAGAACATTTATTTATATTAGGCTACTATGTTTATCACAAAGAAACTCTAAATTAACTTTAAAATAATTAGCTAGAGATTCTAAGTTCCACTAGATCATACTCATTTCAAGATCTTACAATAAAAGAATTTGTACTATAGTTGTCTCATTTGAGGAAGTGATTATAACAAATAAAACATAAGGTGCAGTCAAACAAAATACAAATAAGTAGGAAGATAAACAACACCACTGAAAACAGTAACAGAAACTACTTTACTTACACTATGTTCACAACAATCACCAATTATGTTGTTGATTACAATACATTATACATATTAGCTTTGATTATGGGGTTTACTATAGTCAATTCCACATTCACCATGCAGTACAGGTTTTATGGCCAATAGTGGCGATGTCAACATTGTTGGAAATATCAAATAGATAAAATCATACATTATGCCACATCACATCAATTGTTATGCGGGTTGCGTCACCAGTTCTCACAACCCTTGTGAAGGCTCAAAAGAACACATCTGCTTATTTCTACAACTTTATGTTTTTTTACTAAGATAGTTTAGTATTTTGGCTTAATGATTTGGAATTTGACTTTGGTATAGTCAGTCAAATAGTAAAAAGCGCAAGATAAAAGTAAACAATTACCTGAAATAAAAATAAAAAATATATAAAAGTCATAAATAACTAGAAAGATAAATGTAAAAGAGAGCCACCAAACAACACCATTGTAATAGAGTAACAGAAACAACATTACTTACACTAGGTTCACAACAATCACCAAATAAGTTGTCAATCAACTGGGCTAGTAAGGTGTAAAACAAAACAAAGCTGGAAGCAGCAACCAAATCACCAATCCAGCCCAACCTAGTGCACAGATCTACACAAGTGTGTGTCAGTCTACTAGCGTGTGATCGTAGGCTTACTTCACACTGAGCCTTCTCCTCCGAGCCTCCGCTAACACTCAATTCCAGACTCATAACCTTCTCCCGTAGATGTTGAGCTTCTTCCGTCTTCTGCTGGAGAGCTTCGCTCTGGAAATCAGAGGAAACAAACCATAATGTAACAAAAGTGGAAGTGCGGAGAAACTATTGTTTACTTTGGGTGCTTTGTTCACTTTTGGAGCTTTGCTAAAGCTACAAGTGAACTTGAGGCAAGCTACCTGACTGGAAGTTAGAAAATGCAAATAGTGGGTTGATTGAATTTCAATGAATATTCATTTTCACCTTTAATTTAGTTGTGTATTCAGTGAGGTGTCACTAAATATACTTACTTGCAGGACCATCTATTGCCTTGTTCTAACCCTTCTGATCAGGTAGTTTGCCTAATATTTAATATTATCCTGAGACAGGTTATGTATACTTCTCAACCTATTGTAAAATATAATGCTTCTTTTGGTGTGTGTTTCATGTTCAGTAACTTTTGGTTACGTTCTACACTAAATGTTTCTCTCTAATAATAGGGTAAATTTTACTGTGTTAGCATAGCATATCTCTTTAGTTATAATAAGACACACACAATTTCAAAACTTGTAAAAACACTTGTAAATATCTATGCTTTCGAGCGTTACCGGACTTAAATGCACGATAAAATTGTTGTGCTCAACAGTTCTATAAGGATGATAAATCTAAGCGGGTGTTTAATCTATTAAAAATTACGCAGAAAAATTAAACATTGGGCCCAATGTGTTGTTTTTAAGAAAATTATAATTGAATTTAAAATCTTTATTCCATTCCATAGTCTGTCGATTGAGTATATAAGGCCCTGTATTTTATCAAAAGGAACCTAATCAAACAATAGATCTTACAATTTTACAAAATGAAAAAAAGAAAAGGTCATAATTAATGTAATGATAGTAGAAAACAAAACATCTTTACACCCTGTTCTTACATCTATATCCAAACACCTTAATAATATGTTAACATTGAGTAGTGCACAACTAATGCATCAACACACGCACACAATCAAGTAAAACTGAGTAAATGTAGTTTGTGCCTTGATGGATACATTTCAATCTTGTCTAAGCCACATTTCCACTAGTCACCTGAGCCTGCAGTGAGGCCTGTTTCTGTCCCAGTCTTGTTTCCATCTCATTCTTCTCCTCTTGCAGCTGTCTCAGGCTGGCCAGAGCTGCTGTCAGTTTGTTATCCTGTTTGCCTTGAGCCTCCTGTGCTTCTTGCAACTGCTTCTTCATCCCAGCAACCGTTGCCTTCAGGTCATCCTGTGTGAACATGCACGTAGCCATTAACTGGTAGTGGGGTAATCCCGAGAGTTGAAGAGGTGCACATCATAACAAAACATATTAAAATCTGTTCACAAAATGTTGTCTGTTTGAGGGGAAGTTCCCCCACCACTCTTTTTGCTTGATATATAGCAGCTGATTGACATTTTGTCAAACCTCATCTGTTGAGCTATTGTTTTAAAGGTATGAAAAAGTGGAGGGGATAGATTTCTTCTCCTAAAACTGCCTAAATTTTGTGAACAGAGTATAAAATTTTCTGCCTTTCTATCTGGTATCTTTGATTATTGATATACAGTAGACTCCCTCTTATCTGGACACCTTTTAACCGGACATCGGTTTAACCAGACTACACTTGGCGGAAATGGCATCTCTTTAACCGGAAAATTTTTATCAGCACATCGATTAAACTGACTAGATCGGCAGGAAGTGGGCGGTACTGAAACGAATGTTCTCGTGGGAAATATTTGAGACCAGTGCTCACGTGTCTAAATACAACGCTCTCCTAAATTTAAGTCAACTACTGTATACAGTATGCATTTAAATGGTCCGTTTTAACAAGTCTTTGGTGACGTCGGTTTAACTGGAAAACCCGTTATCTGGAATGGCCTCGGTCCCGAGGAGTCCAGGTAAGAGGGAGTCTACTGTAGGTACACATCTCATTCCCGTGGCTGTAGCCAGTTTTAGAACGTAGGCCTAGTTCAATTGAACAACTGACAGAGTGCACTGATGTCAAATACTCATTTCAGTCGGATATGGACAGTTATTGACCAAGTAATACTGGAAACACAACTTATTGTCAGCTAAAGCATGTTTTAAAGTCATATCATATAAACTGTAGTATCCAAAACTATGAGAGAAAAGGGAATTTGTAAAGTAGGGCATGTTGTATGTGGCTCATTTAACTATGTTTTATTTCAAAAATCATTTGCTACAGCTGGTCCACATAGGTGGGATGTGTACATCAATATCCAAAAGTCAATGTTACTACACAACTCAGCCTTCATATAGTAGTGGAAGCCAATACAATTCCCTTCCCAAATAGTTGAGGAAACTATTCATTTTGAAGTTGTTGTTTTAAAAACCTTTCACCTCATACAAAACTGTTTTTTGAAGAAGAAAAGAAACTAAATGCAACATTATTATAAATTTATTTAGAAATCCGATATCCCGCAAAAAGTGAATATTAATCATTACAATATAAATTGGGAAACTATGACTCTAATTATCATTTCAAATTTTCTGCTTGTATATTAATTATACTACAGACAAATATAGCAAAAACAAAACAAGAAGACTGTATTAAAATACAATCATCTTGAATGCAAAGTAATTTAAACCCTAGATATAAGTAGCAAGTAAAAAAAATCATATGAAGCATTTAGACAACATCATAATTTTACTTCCCTTATAATTTCACTTACCCTTTCCCGTTCGATCTGAGCAACTTGATGCATCAGGTTACGAACTCCTTTCCTGACGACCTCAGGGTCCACGTCAATGATCGGGTCTCCTCTCGCACTGTCACTGTGGTGGTCTCCAGCTGCAATCATACAAACTATTCATTTTCAATACTATGATGTTAAAATTAAATATACATAATGCTAATCATATATTTGAATGCTGTTTGAAAGAAGGAAAAGGGCTCATGTGCACATTGTGTTTCTAAGTTCTAACCAAAAGAAAGTAAAAAAATGGATGTAACATAAAGCACAAGAGCCTACTTGTGATGGTACAAGGCTCTGCTGAATGGAATATCCGATTGGTGAAGAACACACATTGGAGAAATAGAAAATAAAACACAAAACACAAATATTTTAATATTTCACTGTCACTGACAGCATAATTATTGTCTTTAACTCAAATCTTCAACAGTTGAAAAAGTTTTGGTGACAGTGAAGTTAAACTTTCCCTGACTATAGGCGGATATATCTGCTAGCATTTTGTGCATAGCGGACAATAGTTATAGTTGACTGTCTTTAACAACATTAATCTTCGTAAAAACGTCCTTTCATTCAATTATATCTTTGCCGATGTACTAGGAATGGTTTTTTAAAAGAATAAGAAATTGAAGTTAAAAAAATTAATTTAAAAGAATTTTAAAAAGTAAGTAACCTAATAAAAAAGGAATAAAAAAAATATTTTGCTTGATTTGTAAAAAATCAGATGCCGGAACTGTAACCTATTTATTGTGATTTGTAACTATTTATCCCAATATTTTTATCTTCACGAAAGAGAGGTACTGGAACCCCACAAATCGAGCACTGGGTACACTATTTACAATATTCTATGACTTTTGGATATAAAAAAGCTATATTTTTTTTTAGTTTCTATCCAAATAAAATAGTTTTACTGTCTGTATACCTACATATTATAGGCCATCTGGAAAGGGTTAAGTATTCTAATAATTGTGAAGCTGAAGAGTGTACAATTTTGTGTTTCCTGTTTCAGAATGGTCTCATTCCCAGGTAAGCCTAATACCCTCACAAAATCCTTAAAATAAAATATAGGAATTTTAAATGTATTATCTATTATTTGAACCCAACAATAAAGCTAGAGGTTAGTAGAATACACATCTAATGTTAAGAAAATTTAATATCTGATACTAACAGGCTGATTTACAACGGACCGGACTCCACCGTCGTGAAGGACTTGTGAGTTTGAATGGAAGACTGACTGAGCCGTCAAGCTGTATGCCAGCAATACGACGCAGCGTCGAGCCCACAGAGCTCAGCTTCTGCTCCACTTCCTTCTTAGCTGCCTCCAGTTGCATCAAGTTGCTGTCTAAAGCTCGCACCCTTCCTTCGGCTCCACCGAGTCTTGCCTAAGAAAAAAATAATTTCCGTAATACAGCGTTGATGCATTATTGATAGACTATATGATAATTAATAAAAAAACATAAAATATGATTTTTGTGAGAACAGCAGGCTTACCTGAATGTATAGGAGTCCACTCTCCCACAAGGAACACAAAACTGTCACTGATCAGTGAAATCAGTGAAATAGTTCACTGTCAGTGACAGTAAAATTTGTTTGTCTAGTGTATGAAATGAAATGAAATGAAATGTGTTTATTGTCTTGTGAATTTATACAAATTATTGACAATGTCCGAAAAACTGCTAAAACTAGCATAGTCAGTTAATGAATACAATATACAATATTTACAAGAATACTACACACAAGGAGACATGTTACAATACATACTTTAATATTACAACCAAATAATCTTATTGTTCAGAAAAATGCGAGGCATTTAGAATAATGAAAGTTATGAAACCCCATAACCAACTAAATCCAACAGTAATTTGGTAAATTTGCTAGCTCTACTTAAAAATTAATAAAAGGCATTTCAAAAAAATCTTTTAGAGAATAAAAAGGGTTGTTCAAAAGCCATTTGTATCTATGTGAATGATGTGTTTCTTGTTTTGGAGTGGATTATTCCCCATTAAAATATGTCTGCTATCCTCACAAAAATCCTCTCAAATCTATGTCCATGTGCTCTAGGCGGCTTTTCTAGCATCAAATATTAGATAGGATAACTAAGGTAGTAAATTAATGTTTGATAAATTAGTATAAGCATTTGATCAATCGGCACTGACTGAATCATCACTGTACCTTGAGCTCAGATATCTGCTGTGTGGCGTCTGCTAGGCAAACCTCCAGGTTGTGCCGCTGGTCCTCTAGTTTCCTCTCTTTAGCTCTTCCATCTTCCAGTCGCACCAGTAGCTCCTGTTCGCGCTGCCTCCATCGCATCTCCTCCTCGTCCCCTCGGGTACGCAGTCGTAGGATCTCCTGTCTGGCCGCCTCTAGCCCTCCATCCAGCTCCATCAGCTGCAGAAACATTGGAGGGATGAGAAACAACCATGAAAGAGTGACCATTATGCATGATAGACATTAGGTTGGTGACAAGAGTGTAAAAGGTATGGTAAAAGTAAAAGTTTTGTTACTACATAAAACTGTTACAAGTGTTACATTACCATGAAAATGTCAAGGCTTGGCAAGAATGTTTAAGAGGTTTAATCTAGTGAATGATGATGGGTGGTAGGATGTGAAAGGGACCTAATGTTGAGAACCAGAGATACATCCGAATACATGGAATGCCAGTCCTAGGAATTTCCACTATGGTTATTGCTATTGATTATTACTTTCATCCCGATTCATCACAAAAATAAATTTACACTTAGATCCTCGACTAACATGACCACCATTAAGACCAATATACTTGAATTTTCTACAAGGAACAATCCGGTTTGTTGTTTAATTTTCTAAAAGTACCATGAAATAAATATAAATTCCCCATCAGCAAATATTCAAAGCATTGTTTCCCAACCTGAGGTACACTGGGGCAACTGCGGTGGTATGTGGTGTGTCGATCAGGGTTGAAGAATGAGTATTAGCTATTTCAAGTTTGTTTAGGCTGGAGTTTTAGTTCACAGCAACTGTGTAAAATCAGCAAAACGTAAGAACGAGGAAGAGGTTATTTTGTTAGTTTGGCGAGAAATAATAGCGCCCTAAAGTAATTTGAGAAAAATTAAAACTCTTGCGTCCAATGCTGCTTACCTCCAATTTGGATATGGTTTGAACTTCAGCTCAGAATTAATCTTTACCTAGACATTTTCAAGTTGGTTCTATTCATCAAGCTTCGCTTTTTCATTTAAGTTTGGTATTGTATTTTTATTGTATTTTGGGTTTTATGTTTTCAACTAACGGTATGGACTTCTTGTTAATATCAATTTGAAATAAAATCTCCACACAGAATTTTAAAATCCTACGTTAAGTTGGGAAATTAGTTAGAATGGCAAATTAAAAATATATTTTATTATTACCTCCATGTGACTTAAAAATATGCAAAATATTGTTGTCTTTAAGAGTACTGAATCATAAAAAAGTTTTGGAAACACTCTACTGGTTTAAAGAAGCTCAACTAGTGTTTAAAAACTGTACTTGTTTCCTGAGCTGGTTGGTCTCTTGCTGAGCTCGTTCTCTCTCCTCATTCTCTGTGGTGAGTCGAGTCTGTAGCTCCTTGTTCTCAGACTGAGCTGCACTGAAGCTCATATTGAGCCGCTGGAGCTCTTCCTGTAGACCAGCTCCTTGGTGGGAGCTCGCCGTCACCTTTAGAATCAAAATTATATTGCCAAAAATAAAAATACAATATAAGCAAGGCAATATACCTCAAGACCAAACATAAGCACAATAAAGACTGTTTAAAAACGAAACACAAGCTTCCAGAGGTACCATACATTATGTTTACACTTAAAATGGAAGAAAAACCTCAGAACTCCTTACTAACTAAATGTTTTCTCAACTGATAATTTTTGCCTTTTGTAAAACCAGGAATAGAATGAAGAGACAGGTGCTAATGGAGAATCTGCACTAATGTATATGAGATAAAGATAAAAAATGTATGTATAAATGTTATCTACAAAACCACACATTATTAAAAATGTGCATACATGTTAGCCAATCAACCACGATTATTTATCTGTTACTTTACTTGTTGGCTAACTACTAGAGTTTAGAGAGGTTCTCTGAACTAACTAGAGGTATAGTTCAAGAAATTGAATAAATGTGATAAAACAGTCAGTTTCATTCATGGTTAAGTATATACTCAGCAGAATGATCTCAAAGGGGCAAAATCTCATGCACTCAGAGTCTAATACTATTATCAATCATTACCTGCTTCTCTAGTTCTCGATTCAGAGTTTGCAGTCTGGCACGCTCAACTTCCAATCCAGTCCGGCTGTCTTCCAGGGCTAAACATTATGTTTACATTAGTAATCAAGTTTATTGATAGATGATGTTCTATTTTTAATTTGGATTCTTTTGTCCAAAAATATTTTTTCTGCAAACATTTTTAAAACTCAAATAACAAGATTTTTGACATAAGTATTTGTTGAAATTTTTTGACAAAGCAATCTCGACACCTGGTTGAGGTAACTAGAAATATAGCAATTAATCATCAAGCCATTTTGTTTGTTAAGTAACAAACAATAAAATGTTAGGTCTAAATAATCACCAAAGGTTCCCTTTAATTTCTACAATATTTTATGGCTTTTGTTTTTATAGACATTTTAATTACTATGGAAGACTCACATGAAATCTTCTGGAAGGCCTCCTCCAGTGTGCGAGCCTGTTCACGCTTCTCACCCTCGGAGCGTTTGATCGTCTCTCGCAGCTCCTTGTTGCTTGTGTTGTACTTCTCCTTCTCATATGTTGCATCTCCCAGTTGGCGTCGGACATCCATCAACTCCTTGCGCAATGACTCTCCTAAGTTCTCCGCTGAAATAAGAACAGTTGTTGTAGGCCAACTTTGGAAGAATATTCTCCTTTTATGATTCAGAGGTATAAAAAACAATTTACTATGAAAGCAAAATATCCTAATTTCTTTTTTTAAAAGACTCCTCCCAAAAATATTAGATTTATTTTTAACATGATTCAATTATAGTCTACATAGCCAATTGGTTAAAGTGCTTAACCTAAAATTTGAACTTCGTGGTTGGTTTGATTCCAGATGTGAAATTTTTTGGACCCAGATGCCATTTTTCATTGAGCTATCGATTAATGATGATACGAATGATATGATTTAACAAAAGGGTAACATTAGATAGTAACAAGATCAGGGTTTGGACCCCCACCCCCAGAAAACCGCAAAAAAATGCCAATGGTGTAAAACCACAAATAATAAAGTATATATTTAACTTATTTGTATCTCGTAATCAGTCTAGAATTTCTACAGCATTTATATTCTACTTGTACTTTAATTATTTCTTCTAACAGGGCAAATTCAGATTATACTTTTCATCCAGTAATAGCTTGTACACCACAGCTATTTTCAGAGTGACATTAGGATAAAATGTCGCCTCTTAAAAAATATCAATTATCAGACGTAAAAAATGCCTAATCAGTTTAGTTCCACTGAGATATAAACACTTTAAACTGCACCAACTTCTCACTGAATGCAGCTAAGGGGGTATACAAGGAAGTAGAGCTGCCTTACTGCGTCTCTGCATTATTTTAAGTCAACTTACCCTCCTTCAATCTCCTCTGGGTCTCATGCAACTGAGCCTGCAGGTGATCAAATCTGTCCTCCAACAGATGCAGTTGAACTTTCAACTCCTCACTTTCTTGCAGCACGAGATCTCTTTCCTTGCGGATTTCCTCAATTTTGTTCTCCAATCTGGCTTTCTCCTCTTCAGCTTTGCCTCTGTACAAAAGATAACACTTTGTTATAAATGCAGTAAACCATATGCAAAACTTTGGGAGGGGATATGATGTGTAGTATTATTAGTATTTTTGAAAAGATACATTTAATGTCAGTATCCAAATGAGAATCATAATAATCATTGGGTGACAAACAATGTTTGCTAACATGTCACTGTTCGCCAGCGAACGTTCGATGTTTGCTAAGTGTAGATGCATCGACGAACGTTCAACGAGCGAGGTTTGGGGTAGCGTATCGCAATTTTTGTTCAGCCTAAATGTTCGATCTATGATTATTATCACAATGTAGGCGAGAAAAGAAGTCAGTTATGGGCACAGATGAGAAAAGGAAACCCTGGGAGGCGTTGAAGTACTTCACATTTTTGCGCGACAAGTTTACACTAAGACCTACTCATTCTAGCCTTTCAACGACTTGACCAAGAAGAGAACAAGAAGAGAGGGTTGGAGACGAAGATGACAATTTTACGAAGAACAAATGATTGCACCATCCCCTGCATCTTGTTCAAGAAAAAGTGGGTAAAATAAATCTAAAAAGATTAAGCTTTTTCAATAATTACTGATTTTTACAGCGAATTAAGGCAGGGACCTATCAACAGAGATCCATTGTCTGTCTATGGTGAAACTGTTGCAAACAAATTATAAAACATTCACAATCGAAGAAGTAGATTTGTTGTAATTAACAAAATAGTCGATAGTGTAATAGCAGCAGAAACAACATACAAGGAAGTAAATGCTGACGAGTATGCACATCCACTTTCACTTGAAAAACCTAAATACTGAGTTTAGAGCGAACACCATATTTTGTCCGTTGAACAGCTTAAATAATGTCCAGCAAACGGTTTTTTCTGGTACAGCTTACAAATGGACATGTTTGTCGCAAACGTTCACCATGTGTGGACGCAGCTTCACTTAGTAGGCATTAGTACAGTAATAAGCTACCTACTCATAAACTGAGTTAAGGTAAAAACTGCAATTAAGGTGAGAGATGCTTAACTACAGTAGTCAATAGAAATTTCATTATTCACAACAAAAAGCAAATTTCAATCAGGTCAAACTCATTGAAAGAAAATAAGACAATTTCAACATGTTTTCATTTTATCCATCGCTTCAAATTTAACAGCAAAACTCAACCAAACTATTTGATACACTCATCCATCAACTAAAATAACTTTTAAAGATAAATCACAAGATACATGAACAAATCAACCAACACAACAGAACAGGTGAGTGTGTTGCTAGTGTGGTCAGTGTCTTGGACTTCAATATGAGAATATTGGTCTTCAATCTCTGGCATATCAATACCAGGAGTTTAGAGCGTTCTCCCTTTCAAAGGGTGTGATGTTTTCACTTAAAAATGCCACTGGCAAAAAAAATCTAAAACAGCACCTAGACTCTTCCATCCTGGCTTTGACTCTAGCTAGTTCGTCCCTCAATGTGTTGATGCTTGCTCGATCTTGCTCAATACGAGCCAATGCTTCACGTCGGGCCCGCTCTGCCTGACTTCGTTCCTCCTCAAGTTCTCGCTTCAAACCGCAAAACTTCTCTTGCAGAGCTTGCTGGTCATGTTGAGCTACAACATCAGTTACATGATTAGTGATCACCGTAATGTTAAAACCTATCATTACGACAGCAGTTAAAAGTAATTGAATTGGAAAACTCAGGTCGGAAGTAGACTATCAAGTATAAAAATAATTTATTTTACTCTTGTACAGGGTCAAAATAGAAGCTTTAAAACAGTACTGCGAATAAAACTGCATATTTCATGTCAATGGATCCGTTTTCAAAGATACACACATCTATACTAAAATTTAGGCGGTTTGAGAGGAAGGTTTCCTGGGTTCCCCCACCACTGTTATAGCGTATATATCAGCTTATCAGCTGTCAGCAGTTATTTCAATATTTGGGTGAGGTGGAGGGGATGGAATTGCTTCCCCTCAAACTGCCTAAATTTTGTAACCGGAGTATAATACTCGAACCAGGCAAAACACATACTTTGTAGCAAATGAAAAAAAAACAACGTCATTGCAACAGAGTCCATATTCATTTATATTTGAGATTTTCACAGTGGCAGTCCCAGGATATAATTTGGGGGGGGGGATGACTACCGGAGAGGGGTCTGGAATATTCCCCAGAAAAAGGGGGTCCGCCCCTGCCCCCCCCCAGAAAAAATGTGGAATTTAAAGTCTAAAAACATATTTTTCTATTGTTATACATATTTGAGCTCTAAAATATGCTCAAGTATTTATAGTAGCAAATAAAAATTAAATATTTGGGGGGGGATATATCCCTCCCACCCCCCCCCCCTGGGACGACCAATGGTTTTCCATAACAGTAGGAATTGCATTCAGAACAATTGTTATTGTTAAATTACCATGATTACAATATGCAATGTCTTTTCACATGCCTAGAATTTCAGTTGCTCCACATGAGCATTATTTCTGTTTCTGCCAGACAAATTGTCTTCTTATCCAATGATGATAGCTAATGTGAAGAATAATCATTAAGAAGATAACAAGATAGAACAAACTAAAGAGTTCTAATTAAATTATTGAATTTTGATAATTATCATGCACATTTTATACATGCAACAGTAATATTTTCTTTAGATATATTATTTAAATTTATAAATATATTTTTTTTACTCACTAACCAATGGCTTAGAAACAAATTTATACAAAATCTATGGAGTAACTTTTCTGAGAATCTACAAATTACAATCCTTGACTAGTCCACATCAGTCAAGTATTGAAGTAGATTTACTTATTTTGTACAATGATGCAACAACATATCTATAGTTTCAAAAGCAATTTTAGATACAAATACTAGATTTTTAATGCTGCAGAGGTGAAAATACAAACTATAAAACATATTATTAAATTTAGAAAAACTAGATTAGATCTAACAATAAAAACGTCACAATGATTTAATTAAACTAATTGTATAATGTTACATGTAAAAAAAATTATGTAAATATTGTGTACGAGTATTGCATTTTGTGGTGGTAAAAGTTCTTTACCTATGCCTCTAATCTTATTTAAAAAATACTCGTGGCATGAACGATGTTTGACTAGTGTGATGGTGTAGTGTACTTTTTTGCAACGCTACATAAACTCTATGTACTATGGCATTAGTTTGAAGGTTTTTTTTTTAAACAAAATATGTTTTCTTTGTACATACAGATGTTAAGTAAACAATTGTATTTGAAAGCGATAAATTTATGTACAGCAAGTGAAACTACCATATTTTTATGTGAAGACATCATATAACTAAACTGGGATAACGGTGTTTGTACATTAGAAATTTGCCAAAAGAATTTAAAATAAGCACAATATTTACCATGACAAAAGTAACATTTGTAAAATCAAAGTAAGATTTCTATTACATTTATCATGCTCTTAATTAGAGTAATGCATTGAAGTTTATAAAAAGCACGTTCAAAACAAAATGTAGCAAATCTATGTGTTTGTAATGATTATTTACTGCCAAAAGAATCCTTGTAAGCTTTAAACCAGTGAACAAGTGAGTGATGTGATCATATTGTACCGGTACATCTTCATCTCTAATGGTCTGTTTCTGTTTAAACAATTCAACAGTACAACAGTAGGATTTGTGTTGAGGACATGTGCCCAAATGTTAAAAAGCTCAAGCTGTTAAAATTTTTGCGGGCATATGTCCCACAACATGTGTCTGGTATTTGTTTATACGGTAACGTAATGTAGGTAACAGATAAAAAATATTATATCATCCTGCAAAACTTGTGTGAGAAGAAAAACATTTCAAGCTTGTAAAATTGAATGACTGGAGCGAATTTGTCATCTTCAAATCAAAACAGTTATAGGCTAGGACTCCCTAACAAATTGTTCTATGATCTCATAATAATACAAACACAGTACCATTGTTCGTAGGTACAATAGCCAATCATAACATAGAATATCTTGATCACATAACTATGGTTGTCTGCACTTAACCTTGCAATTCACTTGAGCTATTCTACAAAGGCAAATTAACAATGACAGACTTAACTATCTGATTTAACTTTTTCTGAAATTAACACTTTTGTTTTGATATTTTCATTGAAATAAAAACATTTACAAATAATTAGTTATAGGTAGTTTAAATGAATAGAAACAATCTAACTTTTACAGTAATGTATTTTTTGTTTTGTTGGTAGTAAAATTAACACCTTTCCTTAAAATTTAACCATGTGAAATCATCTAAATTTGTGACCCGGCTTAAGAACTGGCCTTTTACAATTATTACAAAGGCCATTACGGGCATGTTTTCATATGCATAGACAACACTGTTATGGTGTTTCACTTAAAATGATAATTTTGGTCTTAAAATACACAAGAACATTTGTTCAGACTTACCGATGAGCAGAGCCTGCTGTTTATCGTTCTCAGCACGCACCAAAGCTTCTTCGTGCTGTTGGCAGATGTTCTCAATGTGTTGTTCTAACGCTCTTATTCGTTCCTGAAGCTGTTGAATCTCTCCGTCCTTCTCTGACCCGAGCTGAGAAACTGTGGCTTGTAAACGCTTTTCCAAGCTGATTCTCACCTATAGAAGAAATATGCATTTAAATTTCTGACTGTAAATCATAGGTCTCGAGTGTGGCAGTTGTACTGATAATGATCTGAGTTCTTCTAAGTGACATTTGTGCAGTATACATAATTTATTTTTAACAATCCAAACTATTAAAATTTGGTAGACTATTCGAAACCAAATATTCCCTACAACTTGTTAAGCTAGCTAAGAAAATAATATAAAATGCAGTACAATATAAGAAGGAAACTCAAATCTGATCAAAGTAAACACTTTGGGTAAATTGTAGCAGGTAGCTTACCTTGGAAACATCCAGATAGGTAATGAAATACACAGAAACAAAGAAAATACAGAATATTGGTCAAGTGTAAACAAAGAGAGATGAATTCGTTTTGTCCAACTATATTCGTCTATACATTACAAGTTCCTAAAGAGAAAAAAATTTGTTTTTCACTGTATTTTACGGTCTTCATGGACCTTTTATAAACTAGCTGATAACCCTCTACCACTTTAAAAATCACAATACTGGCATAATTCCTTGAACAAAACTATGAAACCCCTTAATCAACGACTCTAACCTGTTCCTTCTCATCTGTCAGTCTGATAATGCAGTCTTCGTTGTGTTTACGCAGGTTTGCTATTGTCTGCTGACATTCTGCCTCCATCAGAGCTAACTGTTGAGTCAACGTGGCTTTCATCTCTCTCGCTCTTCGATCGCTGTTCTCCAACTCTTTGTTCAGTCGACAAATCTGCCCCTTCAGAGTTTCCTGGAAATATACCAAGCTATAAAGTATAATGTAAGTAGTAAGAGTCCTACTTATGTAACAGTCATGATAGCTCAGTTGTAGTGTCTTGGGCTGACTAACCGGACATTGCTGGTACTATCTTTTGTTATATTAGAGGCTTGCCTGAGATTATTCTTGGGAGTGACGGATCCATATGTCTGTATGCTGATGACTCTAAAATCCTACTTACTGGAAATTTTAATTCTGAAATTAAAACATCCTCTTCAAAAAATCTTCCTGTAACTCATGAGTTTAAAAAAAAAAATCTCCTTATAAATGCAAATAAATCAAACTTTATACATTTTTCCACAAAACAATTGAGAACAAAATTTGAAGCAGATATTTTAGTAAAAGAGGACAAAATAGAGCAAGTAGAACAAATTAAATTTCTTGGATTAATAATTGATGAAAATCTTACTTGGAATAGTCATGTTAAACATGTTGTGAAACAACTGACTTCTGGTATATACGCTTTGAGTCTTAGGTCTACAGCATAGATACTCTGTGAATAATATATTTTGCATTACTGCATAGTCACATATCTATTTATGGAGCAACAACAAAGAGCAATTTGGATTCCATTCTAATTAAACAAAAGAAGGCTATTCGTGTGATGATGAAACTGCAAAAAAGAGATTCAGCTAAGAGATATTTTACAGAATGGCAAATCTTAACAGTATATAATCTGTATATATATGAAACATCCGTTTAAAACCGTTAACAAAAAACAGTAATAATTTGAAAACAAAGACAGCTAAAAATCCATTCATCAAAGTGAAAATGTATAACAAATTAATAAAAACAAACTGGTACTATGTTTATATGTACGTAAAAGTTGTTTGAAGTTTACAATATAAGCTACTTATTTGATAAGTATAGTAAATTTGCCTGTTTAATAAGTAGATCTTGTTGTTCCTTTTCCAACTGAGCCCTCTTGTTTTCAGTTGCTTCCAGGTTTGATTGAGTATCAAAGAGAACTCCTTCCAGAGCTTCTTTTTCTGCTCGCATTGAAGCCAATTGTTCTTGAAGACGTTGTAACTCCTTGTCATTTGCTTCTAGCATAACCTATAAGGCATATTAATTGGTAATTGGAGTTTTGAGAATCTACAATTGGATAGTAAATACTACTACCCCATCGGATAGCAGATCACAATAGCCAAGAGAAAAATAATAAAACTGTTTAATACCAATACATTAATTCTACTCAAAAGCAAAACATATTCTGGTTCAATGAGTTAAACCTCAATTGACTGGCTAAGGAAGTCCTGCTTGGTTATTAAATTTCCTGAATATGTCTGGAGCTCCAATGCTATACTTGTGCAATTAAATACATTTCAGTACTGCAACAATCTAAGTCATTAGGACTAACTACTGTAGAAAATCAAACTATTAAGTTTGCTTTTACTGTTTGACCAAAACCTTAGCCTCTAAACAGGTCAGTCAAGTTAGTCACCTGTTTTTCCTCGCAATCCTTGACTAGGTCCTCCAGATTGCGGTTGATACGAGAGTTCATCTCATTGGCTTGCTCTAGCCGCTGCCGTATCCTCATCACTTCCTCATTTAGGCTTTCCTTCTTGCGAGCCATGATGGACAACTGATTGCTCAGGTCTCCCCTGTCTCTGGACATCTGTGCTAGCTCTAACTCTACCTGTTGGCAAAAGAAAAACAAATAGATCATTACCGTTGGTTAAAAGCTTAAAATTTCAGTTAGGAATTTTAAACACTTAGGCCCGGTTTCCCCAAAATGGTGTAAACTACGTTTATAATAAACTAGTTTATTTTTAAACTCCGTTTAAAATGTGTGTTCGGTTTCTCCAACATTTTACTGGCTTCGTTTAAGATAAACGGCAATTAGAGCGGTTGGCACTCCTGAATGTGTATTTGTAAAGAATCTTCGGTGGCCTTTGGGCTAGTGTTTCCTACAACCACCACAACGCTACGCTACAACTCAGTAGAGCAGACAGCAAAGTGCGAATGCAGCTATAGAATAACATCACTGTTTAAGGTTATGTTATCAAGTTATTATAAGTTGTTGTCAAATTCAGATTCATTCCATTTATTGAAATGGTCAATTCTGTCCCTTATTTTAGTAGGCCCTCTTGTTCTAGGTACTAAAGTGTCATAATCTACATCTTCTACTTCTTCGGAAATGTCTATTAACTCTTCCTTTTGAGGAGGTAAATAAGTTACTGCAATTAATTAATAGTAGCCTAACTTGTAATAAAATCAAATGTACTAAAAAAATAACTTAAACAATAAATTAAAATATAAATAAAACTTAACACTTAAAGCTAAACCAAGCCTATTTTCGTCCAAATGAATTTGTAGTTGCTTCAATTATTATTGTTTTAACACCTACTTTTTGTTTTGATTTGAGGTTATGTTATTGTTGTAATTTACTAATTTGAACTCAGTTTATTTTATCCCCAGTAGTTAAACCAAGTCAAGAGGTGGTTTAGTTTGAACTTAGATTAATACCTAGTTTAAATTTGGGGAAACACAAATCAAAGTTAAACTAAGTTCAAATCGCCGTTTAACTTAAAACTAAGTTTAAATGAGTTGGGGAAACCGGGCCTAATTGGTGTAATTCATGTTTGTGATAACATCAGATCAGAAGTACATTTTTGTTAATAGATTTGCAAGCTCACTTGTGATTATTCTAAACATTTCAACTTCAACACTTTGCAATCAGTTGGCCAGTTGTATGGAACTAGCTACTTAGTTGATGTTGTGAGGAATTGTTTCAACATCAGCTGTCAGCTGTTCAACAGCTCTGCCACCTGAGTGGCCAGTACCAGTGGCTGTTTTTTCTTCTTTTTATCAGCTTAGAAGCCATCTTACCAGCTTCTACCCCATAGTTCAAAATTATTTTACTTTTTAAGCTGATTCCTGGGTATCAAAACTAAGCAGAAATAAAAATAAAGATCTGCTTGACCTTCCGAAAGATCAAGTGTTGGCCAGTACCATCAGTCGTCAGTGGCCATCCGAGCAACAAAGATCTATGTGCAATTTATCCAAGCTACTGTTCAAAAACTATGACCAACCGGCAAAGACAATATATTATTCTTTCTGACTCCAAGGGGTCGGGTCCTGATTTGATCATTGGAACAAAATATATCTTTGTTCTAAATTTAAATGTTCTCACTTGTGCTTTACCTATATGAAATCTCAGAGCAACAGTGTCAAATACACTGTGGAATAATTTAATACTCACTTTCTCTTTCTCGATCTCCAGGAACTTGAGTTTTTCGTGGAGTGAGACTTTCTCAGAGTCGAGGTCTAGCCGTGTCTGTTCAGCCGTCAGCAGCTCCTTGCGCAGAGAGCCGAGGTCGTTGTTCTGGTCAACCACCTGACTCTGCAGAGCTGCCTTCTCCTGCTCAAGCTGTCCAATACACAAAACCACAATACATGTGAGAGGAGGTTTGCATTGCTTTCATACGTTTTTAACTACATAAATATTTATTATTGTGTTAAATTGTTCAAATCAGTCACAGTAACAATTACAATACCCTTATCCTTCTTGCTGAGGTTCCTGTGAGAAGAGTGTCTAATAAGACTGCTCTAGGCAACCAAACACTCTTAAGCATTGTATTGATTGTTACAAATTATATATAAATCTAATATAAATAGGACTTCAACAGTTTATGCAACCATGACAACAACGTCCTAGGGTTACGCTCTGATCTTAAGAACCATTACGCAAAACTTCTAAAGTTGATTTTATTATTTATTACCAAGGTGTTAAGAAGAGTGCAGGAGCGTAGAAAAAGGTAATCTTAAAGAGTTCAGCTGTGAGAATTATATACTTTGATACCATATACATACGGTCCTCTGGCTAATAATACTGAGCTGCAATGTCCCTCTATTCTCAAAAATAAATTGTTAAAATTTAAAGGAGGATATAAAGACAGTTTGTTGTCAATTGACTCATCTACCTAACTGGACTCATCACAAAGCAAACATCGGGTGAAATGGACAATGAGGAGTTGAACAGATAAATGAGGTAATACGTGCTTATACATAATGTAATTAAATTTACTTAGTATCTGTAAACAGAACTGCAACAAACCCGTCTGACGTCGTCAATCAGTTTTTTCTTGTCCTGTTCAAGAGAGTTAACAAGGCTCTCAGTTTTGGAAAGAGACTCATGAACATCCGAGCGCTCCAGTAACACTCTCTCCAGCTCTAGTTCCACTTCCCCTGCAAAAAAGAATAGAAAGTTAAGGTAGTGTCCAAAAACTGTATAGGCCCTACCTAAATCCTAAATCATCTTCTGAAGAAATTTGCTTTGTACTTTTGAAGGTGCGATGGTAGAGGGTGGTCAGATGAAACACCATAACTCCGGAACCTGCCAACAGAGGATCTTGCCGGATTTCCCTCTACTGTTGTATACTTCTCATTGAGAAAGTTGTTTGTTGACTAACCTCTGCTCTTCTCCACCTGAGCCAGCAGTATCTCAGCCTCAGCCTTGTGTTGCTCCAGCATGTCCTTGGCCAGGTACGCCTTGTTGAGATCCTCCCTCACTGTCAGAAGCTCTTCCCTCAGTCTGCTGCATCTGTCCTCCTCTGACCTCAGTGCCATCTCTCTGCCAAACACAATTGCACATAATGTTAGGCCAAATACACAGGTTGCAGACTCGGTAAAACCCAACAGTCTATTGAATGTCTCCGTGGACTCGTATAAAAATGTTTTATAAATATTAAATGGCAAAGAAACCATCACTGGTGTTATTAACCACCCTGCTCAGTTGTGGTTTATAGTACTCATAATTTCTTCAAGAACTACTCAGTACCTTTGTAATGTGAACCCAGCACTTCTAGAAAAAAAAAAAAAAAATTAAGACCGAGACACTTGAGTTACCAAAGTGCTAGCCAATAACCTAGCTAGTTGGAATCATAACAATAAATTTTCTATCAAAAATGTTAAAAAAAATTCAAGTATAATAATGTTTGATTTTAATATTCAAGGAATTTAAAACCAATAACCTGATCAAGGACCAACAGTAAGCATAATTGAAATCTTAATTCCCAAAGAAATCACAAAGCAAATTAAGTTCTGGACACTGTTAAGTTAAGACAACATCAAACACTAAATATATATATATTTTTTTATTTTAATCTTTAAAACTACCGTATGTTTTACAAGTGTTGTAACAACACCTTTGGAAATTACTTTAAATGTACTCTCTGTTGCCTAATATTCACTTTGGGGTAGTTTTTACAAATAATACTTACTCCACTTTATCAACCCAATGCTTCAAATTTAACTGTAGGTTGCGAATTGCAAATGCATACCAAACATGGGGCATTAATAACGCTAGTCTGTTGATAGTTTCCTGCTTACTAACCTTATTTCAGAATCCTTCATCAGTTTGTCCATTTCGTTTTGTAAGTAAACCTTTTCATCTTCAAGTGTTTCCACTAGTTTTTGAAGACGAGAGTTTGCTTTTTGGACCTTCTCATAGTCTGCACTCAGTGTCTCAAGCTAAAATTAGAATTGTAAAACAATTTAAACAGTAAAACACGTTGAATTGACAAACTGCATTACAGTATTCATTTACAGCTCGTGACTTGTAAGCTGGCACTTGGGCCTAGTGGGGGTATTGTAGGTGGAAGGAGAGTGGAGGTAAGGAAACGACCGGACTTCAAACATTTCCTCTGACTCACGGGGTTGTCTCTCACTATTTGACGTACTGAGCGTCTTCACGTGGGTCCCGAGAACAGTTGACACAACCCGCATGACGGCTTGAACTAGCTATCGGTAAAGTGCCAGCTTACCTGTCAATAAAGCTGTACAATATATGATTTAATATTGAATAAACGCTACAAATAATAACTCAGGAAGACTAAAGTAAAAGATTGATTATGTTTATGGAATGAATCTTAATACACTTGAATGAGATTGCACCACTATACAAAGGTTTACCTCCTTCTATATTACACTAGAGCTGGCCCGTAGTCGAAAACTCAACCAAAAATATGTATTGTGCAAACTTCTTTATTTTTACCCCTTTCTGTAAAAATAACATGTGATTGGAACTTCTTTAATTTGTTTTGATTTTCTGTTTATATTTTGTTGTTATTTCGTCACCAACATGGCAACCCCATGTTGCCCACGTTAACATGTCCCATGTTAATTTTTAAATTTTATAATAATTGTTTGTACTTATTTTTGAGCCAATTTTAATTTATAAAGAGATAGGTCACAATGTTAGAACCGATCAGCGAATCTTAAAACAAACCTGGCTGTAAAAAAACACAAATATGTTTAGCTTGGGAAATCAAGGGAATTACTTAAAGTAACCAAATGAAGTGGAACAGTAAGAATTCAAAATTTGTTTACACTTTTGAATAGTTTTTCTGCTTTCTAACGATACTGTACTATACCTATCTCCAGTGGATATTTATAGGCATGCACTGTAGATGCAATACTCCCTGGTGTGGATTAACGTCCGTACTAGTGACTAACATAAACAGTACTATTCTGATAATTAGACCAATTCGTTAATTACAAGGCAAAAGTGTGGTTCAGATTCCACTATAAACTGTAGGTCCCTTAGTTGTCATTGGCTGTATGGACTATTAATTAATAGCTGTGTCTAAGGAACATGACGGCCTTAGTCACTATCAAGACTACAAGATCACGCCAACCATCCTACACTCATCTCCATTCATACTTGGCTTAAAGTACCTACATAAAGTCGTCATTTCAGAATATAGTATTAAAATCATCTACTATGAGTTATAATAATAGTATTTTTGTTTTGAGGCAAAATTAAATTAGGTAACATATTAGTACGCTAATGATGTTTGACACTGATTTCCTATACTCAACAAATTTGTGTATCATCAAGAGGTAAAAAAACCCAGGTTACATACATAAAACCTCTTGGTTGTTAGGCGAGCACTACAACCACACAATTACCAACTATTGACTTTTGAATACTGAATGAATACTGAAATAGGAATAAACATTTCATCTACACAGACAGCTAAAGCCTACATTTTATAAAAAAAAGATAGCCCAATGAGCCACTCACAGAGTGTAGATGGAAAATTTGCTTATCATCTTGAGCATTTTTTATGGAATGGGATGTCTACTCATATCAATCCATAGTCATAGTACCCACTAAAGGTAACAAACTATCAAACTTCGATCAATGATCTCTTACCATTGTATTGATCTCCAGCCTGTTCTTGTCCAGTGCATTCTTCTCTGCGCGCGCAGAGTCCAGGGACTTGACCAACATCTCCTTCTCTGTGTGTAGCTGCGTGACCTGTGCTCTGGTAGCGTCCAGTTGAGACGTCAACTCCGCCACACGAACCTCCAGTGTCTTTGTCGTCTCCTCACAGCTCTCTGCCTGTCTCTTGGACATGGACAGCTGCTCCTTGCTGGCTTGCAGCTTAACCTGTTAACAGTGTGACCAATGAAAGATTGAAAGTAAGTCTTGTTTTTATGTTTGAAGTTCATTTTTGGCGTTGGTCGAGTTCATAATTTAAGGGGTGATTAATTCCGCTATTTCCCAGACGAACTTGTAACCTCAGTCTTGTTTAAGCCACCAACTGTGCAAACGTGTGTATGTGCGCTCCTACTCTTCAATTGTAGTACTAAATATTGTCTTCTTTATGGATTTTTAAAATTGTTATTTGACTGCTACACAGTTCTCCACATGGTTTTCTTGTGTGATGTTTCAGCTTTAGTTGGGTTTGTGTTCTAATCTTGTTATGTTTGAACTAATTTATCTTATCTGAGGATGCAATCGCATTTCGAGTCCTGAAATGTTGGGAAAATGAAAATACTTCTGTACTAATTCTCATAGAAAATGACAGAATGAAAAAAATGACTAATTATAATGACCGAAATAACTCTGTGGCAACTACTTCGGTGTGCTCAGTTAAAGTTCCTGGGACCAAGAATGCTACATTAGGAGTATTATTTATTTTTTTTCTTTAATTTTTTTAATTAATTTTTCTTTAAGTGATATGACAAGTAAAGTTAACAATTGCAGCCATTGCTAACAAATAATATTTATAGTAGTAGCCTACACTAAAAACCTATTTAGCTACTATATATATATAGCTGCACGGTCAACTATGAACAGTTCTTTGCAAAAAAATGTATCTGAAGGGTTAGGCTATGCACTCAGCAGTTATGTCAGAAGTTCAAATCCTTAACGTAAAATAGGTGGAAAATCCCTTTATTTAGGGTATCCCTTGATTACTAAATTATTGAATTATTAAATTATTAATTATTTGAAATATTAAATCATTCAGTAGTAGTACTAGTCTTGTTTGAAAAAAAAACTGACCTGTAGCTCGTGGATCTGCAGTTGGTATCTATGCAAGGCTGCTTGGACAGCTGAAATAGTGCTTTCTGCAAATGCTGGGGAAGTTCGCAATGCTCCACGCTTGGGTGATCTAAAACAATTCATTTCGAAAACAAAAGGTAATCTCCAGAGATTTTTTAATGTAGGCCTACCTTTAGTAAAGCGATTTTAGCAAACTTTGTAGTCAACCCTGTTAACTTCAATGCCAGATGACTTGGACTTGAGTAACAAAACATTGAAAACTATGTGTGTAAGCATAGCTAAATAAAACATGTGAATCATGAATATTAGTCACAAAGCATTAGGCATGATTACAATTATTAAATAACTAGCAGAGTACCTGTCCATCGTACGGGTTGGCGTAAAAGTATAAAATGTTTGTTACAGTTATACTTGGCTTTATGTTTGCAATGGGAAAGGACATTTTTAAGAAAATTTGGTTGTTTTAATTTACGGTATGCTATTACATAGCACATCTACCATAGCTATAATGTTCAACCACTGCACCTAAACACTATAAAAAAATAAATGTCTCATTTTATATCACAGCTTTTTGTTGCTAGTTGGTTCAAATTAGCTGTTGTCATGAATGCAAAAAAATAATAGTGCTGCACCCTGTTGTTAAACCTTTTAACTTTTTAATGCTATTTAATATCATAAAACCAACTTGTGTAGTTGAAAAAGCTGACAAAATTATGTAATTCCTTTTAAATATTAAGTAGCAGGGGACCGAGCATTGCTCGAGGTGTTTAATTTGCCCAAGATGTAAAAAATAGAACCTATAGTCTTGTTGCTTGGATGGCTGACAACACCTCTGGCTGGGCAAATGGCCTCAAGATCATACAAATTACTAAGAACAACAGTTACCATAGGGATATTAAGAGAACCACGTTCTGCACACCTCAGAGAAATTGACTAATCGGTTCTCCTTTGACATCAGAAGTCGTGAAGATAATAACAACCAAGGAAGAACTTGAATATGATTTCTCTAAGCTAGAATGTAGTTTGACTGAAGTAGAGAACGATAAGGGAACTCCTATGGATGACTACATCAGAAGTCTGACCAACGATTGTAAACAACAACAAACATGGAGAACAAGAATCCACATCAATTGAAATAATTTCACAATGTGACAATGATTGCGACAAAGGAAGCAACCGTTTTGAATGTTGCCTGAACATCCATAATGAAGACGTAAATAGAGAGCAGTTAGACTTACCGTTACCTTTGTGCACTCTCTGCTTAAGAAAAGTTGCCATTGATACTACACGGGAAAAGTGTGTAACGTCTTTAACTATCGAGGCAGAAAAAATGTTAAAGAAAAGAGAAAAAAACTAACTCCAGTTGCGGTCAGAGACAACGTGTTGCTGAGCATTCCTGACGTCGACCGGGGACGACTAGCCACTAGAAATGTAATGGCAGTTGTTGTAAATAAAAACAATGATTACAACCCTCTTGGCACAAGACTTGGAGTTCTGGACAAACAGTTCTCGAGAAACCAATTCCAGGTGATGCCAAATAAATTTCTTTGTACCGAGGATGTACCCGATGACCAAGTAAACGTACGAAAGTAGCGATGATGTCATCCGGATCCATGCATCAGTACAGTTCACCTTCGTACTGTACCGGCTCACCCCTTGCTTTGCTGGATACTTCCACGCACAGATCTGTAGTCTATGTGGACGGGCAAATCAGAGGTTAAAAGAGAAGTTGCCAACCTCTTAAAAAAAACAAGGTTTTATAAGATGTGGTTGCAAGAAGAACTGTTTGAGTAATCATGTATTAAGTCAAACGTAAAATGCAATTCTAAATGCCATGGCAGCACCTCTTGTGCCAATAAGTAAAAGAAAGATGTTACAAGAACTGTTTGATAATCGGCGTTTTAAGGCTACTCCTATTTTTGTAAAGCGGAAAAACATAATTTCAATGTATGTGTAATTGACCTTTTTATATTTGTTTCTATTAGGTAATATTAGGTGCTGTTTTCTTGTATTTTCTAAAATGCTATTTATACATTAAATAATTATAATCACAAACATAAATTTTTCCTACAGTTACCTAACAATGTAGGCTACATGTTCTCTCACTGATTTGAGAAAGCAAAGTGGCCAATTCGCTCATCAGTGAGATTTGAACGTGAAGGCACGAAATAGTGAGCGCGTAACATGCAGGCAACGTCGTATGCGCGGGAAATACGTTGGCAGCACTGGCTGTAAATCAGCTGGTCAGCTGTTGTACTGTTGTATTTGTCACTTCACATTAAATGTTATATTAAAAGTTCACTTCTGTGTAAAAATAGGTTATGTTTCTTCACAAATTTATTTGTTTTATGGTAACTGTAGGAAAAGTATAATGTGCAACTCGAGTTCAAAGTACAATTGCCTCACTCGAGAAACCATTCCTCACTCGCCTACGGCTCGTGAGTAAGGATTTCTCTCGAGTGAGTCAATTGCTCACTTTTCTCACTAGTTGCACAAATAACTATTATTTATTTTATCTGGTGATTGTGGATTTCATGTAGATTTTTGGGTATACGGTAGTAATAGTCAATGCTACTAGTTAGCGTTTGCGCAAACTAGAAATACCCACAACCCGACGTGGGCAATCACTTTTGCTCACATCGCGTTGTGGGTATTTTGCATTTGCTCAATCGCCGAAGAAGGTTTTGACTTTAGCATTTAAGTAAATCAGTTTACCCACAACGCGGTCTGGGCATTTCGTTTCGGCCAATGTCCGAAATAAAATGCTCACTCCGCGACGTGGGTATTTCACACTATCCAGATCGGGGAGTGGGTAGAAATTTCAGACATTGTCCGAATTTGGAGATTTCGAACAGGCTGTCATTGTTGATAAATCTCAGCTTCAGACATTGTTCTCATCATAGAATATATTCAAAATATTTTAGATTGGTTGGATGAAGAAGGGTCCGAATTAATGTAGGCAAGTTTACAGTGATGCACATTGCATATAGCACCAAAAAAACCTGGTCTTCAGTTAAAATGGAACATTGTGTTTGGCCAAGTGCGAGTGTCACAGATCAAAGACTCTCAGCGTAGTGCTTGATGTTTAGCATTACACACCTGGGAGGCACAGCCTGTGATGGTGTCAGGTGTACATGAGGTGTTGGCTGAGGTTCGGGATCTCTACCCTCAGAGTCTTGTATGACTGCGGTGGCGATGTCTCTCAGAGCATTCTGCAGCAGATCTACCTCCTCCTGCATCCTGGCTACCTGTCCTACACCAGCCTCCGCAGCAGCACACCTCTCCTCCTGTCAACACACAACCAAGTGTGAAGGAATGATGCCATGAATAGGATGAGGATATACAAAGTTTGTTCAGTAAATGATCTGGAGAATAAGTCTACACCTAAACTAGGGATGAAAGACAAATCGCTGGGTTTGGCCAACCACTCGTCACAACACGATGATTCACCAAGGATGCAAAACTATTTGCGAGTTAAACCAAAGCCCAAGGATTACAGTATCTTATTTTATTCTAACCTTACTGTCAATATTAGTTTGTTGTATCAAGTAAAGCGTATACAGTAGTAGTACCATAGACTAACCAACACGAGTAGACTTCTCATCCCATTGTAAATTTTGAAGCACGTTTTTCGTGTCTAGTTCATGTACGTGACACAAAGGCGCTAGTGTCGACGAAACTTGTTTCTATTATTTTAGGGTTAATTTCTTGATTTGTGCTTTACTGTTTGGTTATATAACTAGAGGACAAGTTATTGTTTATGATTAGATCGTATTATTTGGCTAAACGAGGTTTTGAATGGCTGTAATAACGGGAAACAAATTGTAAACAAAACACGACCTCTACATAAACCGTACAGAACTAACAATAAAATTGTCTTCAGCTGTTCCATAAGGATGAGAAATCTACTAAGGGAGTATGTTTTATCTATGGTAGTACTAAACTACCAGAATCACATTAGTTTACCCACCAACTGCTGCAGTTCCCTGGTAAGTTGCTGGATGTGGTCTTCCTTGTTGCGCACCTGTCCAACGGTGTTCTCATGTTCAGCCCGCAGAGCGTGTATTTGTGCGCGCAACTCTGCACACTCTATGGCTGCCTGCTGTTGCTGCTTCTCCTGTCAGACAACACAAGTAATAACATAAATACCCAAACAATGTAAGTCTATACAAATATCTTTTAAAATCTTGGTGATGAACAATACAACAACACATATATATCAGAAACTCTCCTTAAGAATCAATGTAAATTCACGTCTACATAATGTAATCTTGGCAAAAATAAATTAACCTCGGTTTAGCAAATTTGTCACAATTATGAAATTAAATTTAACAAATTTATTTAGCCAGACAAAGTTAGGGCTACATGGCAATTTCTTACACTCTACTTGTAACTAGTTTTGTTCAATCAAAGGCTCTAGGCCAGGATTTTGAATTGTAGAAAAAGGAGGATAGCAGCTAGCTTACCTTGAAAGTGTAGGTAGGCCATAGAACATGTATAAAATACACATGTGTATTTTCTAAATGTATGGCCTACCTACACTTTCAAGGTAAGCTAGCTGCTATCCTCTTTTAACCTGTAACTATAAATTATAACCTAAAACCTATGCAACAAAATTCCTATGGTGGACTTCATTATAACAAACAAAACGCAAACAAAACCAATTTTGTATTCATATAAGAGCTTTGTCACAACACTCTGTTCACAATTATTGGTAGACAAGTTTATTAAGTTTTGTTAAAAGTTTAGATTACACAGTGTGTCAGGATTACTTTGTTAAATTCGTTAAGTGACAATGGACATCAACAACAAATGGAAACAATGTATAGTACTATAACAACAGCGAGAACTAACAAAGTTAGAATACCTAAATAAAAAAAGACGCTTGTGAAGCTTTTCTAAGCATTTTTTATATTCTTACAAAGGTTGATTTGAGTGACAATGTGGTAAAAAGGATCAACAAATAGGATTTTACTACAGACTTGATCAACTTCAGCCATACACCTAATACAAATTTGTCTCAAACAAACAGTATTACCAAATCCTGATTACCAACAAAATACATCATGCAGACTCAGGCATGTAATTTTCCTGTTTTGTTTGTCAGTATGAGTACTGTTTTGATTTTACTTTCTGTATCTTCATTTTATACATTAGATTTTACAGTTTGATTTTTACTTTTATTTTTAACATATTTCTTATTTAAAGATTTAACAATTTATTTTTACTATCACAGACTAGGGATTCTTACCCCAGCCACACTAGATAGACTGACTCTACTGCTGATGCCCCCGGCTGCTACCACCATCTCTCTTGTGGTGGCTGATATCTCTCCCCTCATCTTGTTGAGATCTCTCTCCGTGGCCGTCTGCATCTCAGAGAACTGTCTCTTCACAGCCACCACGTCACGCCAGAGGTTCAACAGTCGATTGTGCTCCATCGAGTAGTATTCGTTGAAATACTGCAACATCACACTAAATATTGTACAATTTAACACTACAGGTAAAATGAACAATACATCACTTTAAAAATGCTAACAGTTTAAATCATAAATAATTATCAAATCAAAAATTGTAATGGTTTTTTGGTATCAACTGTTACAAAAAGAAACATGTACTATAACATGTTGTTGATGCAGGCAATATAGATCAGATGTCTTACTTTAAAAATTAAAGACAAAGTTGCTTAAGTTTAGAATAGTATATTTCGTACCTAGGGCCGAAAATGAGGTTTTGCCGGCTCGAGATAGTTTTTAAGTTCGAGACGAAGTCGAGAACTTAAATCGATCGAGAGCCGCAAAACCATTTCGGTCCGTGGTACGAACGCTATTTTTCACCACACTATACCCTATTACCACTATTCACCACAATAATAATGCACACTGATAGTCAACACAACTACAACTTTAAGGTTATGTGAAGAAATAATTTGAGGAATCAGCAAAAATAAAAATATATAGTTGCTAGGCAACGGTGACAATAACACAATTCTATTGAAATGCTATGGATTTTGATTATGTATTTAAAATGCATTCATGTTTTAAGTAAGTAAGCGGACAGCTGATTTTGCGGCCCCGGCCTGTAAAAACCTGCTCGGTCCCCAAATTATGGACAGCTGGCATCGCCAGCAAAACGTAACTTTCGGCCACCAATTAACGTATGTAATACAGCCAAAAACATGATAGTGTGGTGAAAAGAAAATTTTGTTTATACAATTTTAATTGAATTCCCTTTAGTATCATGAAAAAAATCGTTTAAGATGGTTTTTTTTATGTTTAAAAAGCCTATTTTGTGGTCAGTCAATGGCTCTATTAAATCCATAAAAGCATTAACTCTGTTGGATAAAATCTACGCACTATGTGGACGGGCAAATGCAAGGTTGAAAGAAACCACCAACCTTTTTAAAAAATGTCTATGTCCTTGGCAACGTTATTTTTAAAGGCAGATGTGTCTATTTTTTTATTATTGAATTATCTTCTCTGTATGTTTTGTTTCTCCAACTAAACTGCAGGTTTGTAAGCAGGTTAATTACTACGGGCTTGCTGAACACTTCAAAGTAAATAGAACTAGCGGATAAATAATACCAGCTGGCCTATTTCAAATAAAGACCTTGACCTGCCAGTTCTATTTGCTTTGACTATAACCATTTTAATCCTTACAACATACTGATACGATACATACCAAAGAATAATTTCTGCCAAATATTATGCTTGCAATCCCAAAGTTTGCTTCAAGCAACATTTTCTTAGTGTACAAGAGCTAAATATACAGCCAAAAGTCAAAGGAAATGTCCATTACTGGAAGATAATAATTTAACTTAACCCTAGAACCAACCTGCTCTTCTTCCTTCCATTCCTCCTCCTTAGCTACAACCTCCTCCCTCATCTGGTCCCAGTCCATGGTCAGCTTCTGCAGGTCGTTGGTCAGAGCCTCATTACTCTCATGAGCCTCTCTCAGTTGATCTCTCAATGCCTCATTGACTGATATCAGCTTCTCACATCTGTGTGAACGATCCGAGAAATGAATACGCTGAGTTAGCATAGCTTGTGACTAGAAGAATAGGTACTGAATGTGTTAAAATAGCTTACTGACTTGAAAGTTTCATTTCAGAAAAGATGTGTTAAGTGTACTTCCCTTTGTCCTATCACAAATGTTATGCTGGATTTAAACAATATTTTCTGTCTTATGCACCATCGATTTTAACAAAGACCAATCAAAAGAATTCGTTGTAAAAACGGCTTATTTAATGTCAAATCAGAAATCACCTTTCAGAGTACAAACAACTAAGACAGAAAATTAAAAATATGATGTTTACTGTCAATAGCACACTGTTAATGGGGCACAACAAACTACATTCTTTTTAAAAAAGTAGAATGTTATAACCCTAAATTCTGAAGAAAATGTTAAGCTCTGATTGCTGTAAACGTTGCTAGTAAAATTGTAACTTATAACAGAAAATTGTTTTTCAACAAAAAAAAACCGGTTTAGATTACAATTAGTATGTTATCGTACTTAAAATCCTAAACAAAATAGTGCACCCCCCATTACTGTAAACATTACAGTTCAAAATGTTTTGCATCTTTTATGATTTTCCCTATAAAATATCATAGTTACTCCCACCCATGATAAAGGTTGTTGACAAGCTATTGGGAGAAAATATGTGTCAGATTGCTGATATCGTTAATTTTGTATGATATTTGGCTACAGTATCAATGTTACATCTCATGAATTAAGTTACTATAAATAAATATGGTCTCCCAGTGGAAGAAATATTTCTGTGTCTTCTATGACTCGCCTAAACTTTTCAATCTTAGGATACCTATTAGAATAGCCTAACTTAGGTACTGTATGGCTAGCTGCTGGCTGCCTTTATCCTAAAACTCACTATGTTCTATTTAAATAATGTATAGGCTACAGCAGATCATCTATATAGATGTGATGTTTACTCACTTGCGGCGCTCGTCCTCCAGCCGGCGTAGGGCCGTGTCCAGGTCGTGTATCCGCTCGTCCCTGTCCCGCATCTCTCGTAAATGTTGTTGTGCTGCGTCCAGCGCCGAACCCGGTGTCGTGTACACTCGGCCCGGTGTCTCTGGCGCGAATGTCACAGCATCATCGTCCATATGACTCTCCAACTCTTCACATCGCTTTTTGTACTGGACCACCTGGGCAGGGCATAAGGTTACTTAGATATGTTCATTATTGAGCTTATTGTATATTTATTCTGGCTGTTCTAAATTCATCTATGAAGGATGCATAAACACTAAACATAAGGTCCAACCTACTAGTGTTATTGTAGCAATGTTTACTTTTCAGTGATAGTTATTCATCTTTCCAAAAACTGTTGACACATTTACACAACACGTTGCCTTCACCTCATGTACAGTGAGCATTTACTTCTATCAAATTGTTTAGAAGCAAAAATAGTACATAGTGTCCCTTAGGTATATGTAGTGGAATAGAATTACTTGAGTTCAGAAAGATCTGTTCTTTACGTATAACAATAGTTAACAAATTTAAAACTTAACTTTTGAACAAAGTTATACTTATGGTAACAACTGATGATGGAATTTTATGACCATAAGGATAACATGGAAGTTTTATAAACCCTTGATGCTCACTACTTAAATGAATAAATGAATTTATTTCCCATATTACAAAACACTTTACACTTTACTAGTGATTAGTTTTCTAAGTAAGTACCGAGAGTAAATTAGCTGATTTTGCATTAGGCCTACTTTAGCTTGATCAAAATCTATCAGTTTCATTAATTGATTGCATTTGTCCACGCTTAGTTGCTTGGGCTGCTTAGTCTTGCTTATTAATGCAATTTTGTCTCAGAGAGGTTACTTTGGAGATCAGCAATGAAAATGATTAGACATTAGTGATGAGCTTGTAATGAAATGTTCAAAAAAGCAAATTTAATAGGGGGATTTAATATGGGCAAAAACGACAAAGTACCAGAAAAGGTGCCGAGTGAATTCCCTCAGAGAAAAGTACCCAGGGAAAGTGCAGAGAGAAAACTGCGCAGGACTTTCGCTGGGTACTGGGTACCTTCCCCCACCTTCAAAGTACTTTCTGGCCCTATAAAAGGAACATCTTTGGGGGACTTTGTCAGTTGGGCCACTTGTGGAGTATGCACTAGAGGCGTGTTGAGCCCGGTGCAGCCGAGAGGCGTGTTGAGCCCCGATTCCCCCGCACTAGAGGCGTGCTGAGCCCGGTGCAGTCGAGATGCGTATTGAGCCCCGACACCCCCGCACTAGAGGCGTGTTGAGCCCAGTGCCTCCCGTCCCCGCACTAGAGGCATGTTGAGCCCGGTGCATCACGTCCCCGTACTAGAGGCGTGTTGAGCCCCGACTACCCCGCACCAGAGGCGTGTTGAGCTCGGTGCATCCTGTCCCCGCACTAGAGGCGTGTTCAGCCCCGGCATCCGTTTATTTCACTTTAAGTCCCCGGTGGCCAAAGGAGCTGCCTCCTGGGATCAGTTCGCCCTGGAGAGTCTGGATCCGACAGTGAGACTGGTGACATCGTGAGAAGCTGCTGCAATTGGGACACCGTGAGCCGCCCAGCACTTCAGGAGACGATGCCAGTTGAGGACCGAAGGAGCCTAGTCGAGAGGACAACAAGACAGGACAGAGGGGTCTGGAGCTGATCAACTCAGACGTCAAAGGACCACCTTACATTTGCTCTGGTCTCTAGTATAAGTGAGCAAATACGATTGTATATATAATTTCTGTAAATATTTGTAAATAGTCTTGAGATAAAATAAATGTATAAAAAAGTGTATGAGTGTTCAGTCAATAGATAGTCATGAAAAAACCCAAAAAAGTCTGATAGCAGAAATAAATTTAAAGTCTGAGAAAGTACCTTACAAGCTAGTACCTTGTTTTGGAGGCGGCTGACCAAAGTGGCTTGGTGCCTCTGCGCCTGTCTGTACGTGTCCAGGCGGCGCTTGTAGTTGGCAGTCTCCTCCTCCAGACGCCGCCGCAGGTCCTGGTTCTGCCTCGCCAGGGACTCCGAGCCATCCTCCTTCTCCATCCTCAGCGAGGATCTACTAGTCTGTAGAATAGATTATGTAAAATAAAAAAACAGTTCAGGTGGTAATCGGCAAATCAATAAGTAGTTTATAGACGGGGAAAGTAGTGATGGCAAATTGCTGGCTGTAAGTACGAGGCAGTTGCACTTACTGTATACTTACCAAGGAAAGTACCCCTGTAGAGGAGGTGAGTGCAACTGGTAAATAATTGCAGCCAGCAACTTGATGTTTGTACTTTCCTTGTCTACAAGCCACTTTAATTTGACAAAGAAATATTGAGGCAGTGAGTACATTGTAAGGAGAAAAGGAATTCTTTTAAAATCTAAAGCACACATTGTGTGTGCATCAATCGAATAAACTTAAATAGAAATAGTTCCTCCAAAATGCATAATCCAGGTGTAAATCCATTTTATTTAGTCTGGAGCTGGCAACCCATGCAAACTGGCCAATTCTTGAACCTGAGCAATCGACAAACTTTGGTGGCTGGACTATCACACTGGTCTCCAATCTACTATATCTAAGAAATCGATCTTGTTGAAAATCCCAGAAAAGAAGAATACTTAAATTGACAAACTTAGCACTTTTCAAATCCCTGTGAATTAGCATTGAATGGCCGGATTACCACCATCATCAATGGATCTTATCCAAGTGATAATGCCCCAACTTATATGAATAGCCTGAAGTTATGTGTAAAATGATTCCAGGCAGCCTATGTCGCAGGATCTAAAGGTAGGACATTAAAAAATGTTACAATAAAAACGATTTCAACCAAGTATACCTATAAGTATTTACGGTAAATCAATTTCCTTTAAACAGTCATTTCCCTTTCAAAACGTCAAAGAATGTAAACAAACTATCACAAAGAATCAAACAATACTCACATCTCTGGACTTGGGGTGGGAGCGTAGGAAGGCCGGCCGGCGCCGCTCCATGTCTACCTCCTTGGCCCGGGGCCCCTGCAATACAACACAACATTACACCCCAGTGTCAGTGAGTCATCACATGCAAGGTCGTGGGGACTCACTTCCGGTCAGACTGACCCACTGCCGCCCCTCTCACACAACCCCCTGTCCATAACCCTACAATCCCCTCATGATTTTGTTATCACTAATTACCTACCTACAGAAGTTACAAGGGAGAATTGATTAATTCAGCTGTCATCACTTTTGAATTACTGTATTCCCTCTTTAACTATCGCTATCATCAAGAACCAAATCCAGGTGGTTAACCGAAAAGGTCGGTTAAAATGAGTAACTTTCGAAATACAGTATGTAATCCTGTTTTTTTTTAGTTTTCCAATCTGTTATCACAACAAAACTTCAGCACGATGCTACTGCGATAAGATGGAAACAAGACTTTGAATTCCTACAAAAGGCAGCTCAATTCTAACCTGTGGGCAGATCAACCGAACCATATAGTTACCCGGGGAGAGGCGGTTATGAGGAGATGAGGTTGATCTAGGATCGGCTAAGAATGTAATAAAAAGATTTCTTTTCATCGCAGTTCTTTGATCAAATTACAATGCAATCCGTACTGATGACTTCAACAGTGATCCGACACATGGACCATGCGGAATTAAACCAAGCTCGTGTGTGGTTGTGGTTAGAACTGGTTGTGATAATTGATAATGGGACTCAGCTGATTCTTGATTTTTCCTAATGAAGACATGAAATGCATAGAGGATGCGCTTAAACTTAAAACCTTATCCAACACTGCAAAAGTAGCCTATACCCTACATTTTTTCTTACAAGTTGACTAAAATGGTATTTGTTGTTAGCCAGCTTTAATTTGACCACGTCTTTGTATTGCTGTATTCTTAACTTAACCAATCAATAGTTTTATTAATGCAGTTTTATCAACAGTACTTATGAAGTCAAACGGGGTGAAACCCGTGGGTAACAGCAAGTTATATTTCTTTCCTTTCAACCACAGTGGATTCGAATTGTTTCGTAAATATACTACTGTACCTTTGACTATTTGATACTACTTATTACAAATAATTGATAGTGTTTTTTTTTTATCTCGTAAAAACACAAAACGACCTTTGATCAACTTGTGATCAATGAAAAAAAACACATGATTGAATGTGCTTTTCTGTACGTTGAGCGATTCCACTGATCTAATCGATTAATACGGAAACCATCTAAGATTAAGACCTAGCAAATAATACCACAGTTGTTAGGCGTACTTACGTTAGTAAATCTAAATCTGTAAAGATGTAAAGCATACACTGTCAAAATCAGAGGCAAGACAGAGCGTGTGCGAGCCAAAATATGTCACGTAAGCGATGTGAGAGAGCTGAATGTACGTGACAGTTTTTATGATGAACTTACAACAGTGCTCACAATAGGAAGAGGGTTAAAATACTTTTTAAATAATCAAACTTGTTTCTATACACTAAGGGAATGTATGGTAGCTAAAGCATTTATTGTATACTAGTTAAAATACGCCGAAGAAAGCCCGTTATAATTTTTAAACACCTTCTTGGGTGCAAAAACTAAGATCCTTTCTTAAATAAGTAATCGTTAGTATAAAAAGTGAACCTCGTAAAAATATATACTTTTATTTTTTTCACGAATTTTCGCCTGGATCCGATATTGGTATAACGAGAGTAGCCTATCCGTTCAAAAAGGTAACCAACACAGTTCGCGTTGAAAAGATTTTTAGATCAAATCCATTATTTTGAGGAGCAGGCATGGAAGAGTCTGGCACAGGTGTGACGGGTTGATGGCTTGAGTGAATGATTCTGTTTAGGATTAGGCTATTTAATTTCATCATGTTTGTATGTTTATAGTATTCACTTTGAATGCGAGCATTTACATTATTTATTTAAATAGTTTTATCTATGTTTTAGAGGTTAAGTGGTAAATAGGACTTGCTAGTACTTCACCTCTCAAATAAAGATATTGTTCATTTGATTTCATTGTACCAAAAAGACCAAATCCTTGGATATAATATATTCACAAAGCGAACACTGTCTATAATTATGAAGATTACGACTACAGTACAAGGGAAACCATGACTATAAAGGCAACTATCCTTTTACAGTAGATGCATTAGACCTCCCATGTCATCAATTTCCAACTTTCTTCCCCTCTTTGAAAGTCACGTTATCGTAACATGGTTAGCACTACAATAAATATGAGAGTGAACTTTTTACGGAAGGGACATGGAAATTACAATGTCACACTGAAAGAGAGAGGGGTGGAAATTTAAAAGCAACACGTCATGGGACATTAATGCATTTGACCACTTAGGGTAAGCTTGGTAACTGCGGTGGCAAGCGTGGAAGGTGACGAAGGTGACTGACAAAACCAATTAGGAGTCCTGGGAAGCGCGATAGCGTAAGTTTAATGGTTACAACGGTTATTAAATTATCCATTCAAAAGTAACAACAACGGAATGTATCTAAATTAATTAATACGTCACAGCTAGGTTCAATTGTCAAAAGGGGCAATGCAATTTAACCTTGAACACGGAACAACCGTTGTCATATCGTATAGGAGAATATCATGAAGATGGCAGATACCACAAGGCATGTAGTTTAAGCTGGCTCCAAAGCATGTTACAAGGTACCAGCAATTAAATACTTTACATTAACACAAATCAATATCCAGAGTAGAAAACAAAATTCAAAAATATTTTTCCTGTCTGGTTTATATAAAATGTAGCGAAAGTCAAATGCTACTATCAATATCTTTTGTCTTCCACCGTTAAATACTCGTACTTCAAGGACGACAACTGTCATAGTCATACCGTTTATTTTACTTGAAATCTCCCGTTTGGACTTGTACCCGATGTTGCCGTGATTTCTCGCCGAGCCTACGACAGCCAGCGCGTATCTTGCAGGCAATTTAGTGAGCCTAATAACTCAGGAGCGGTATTGAGGGGTGTCACGCCAATAGCAGTCTGGGGGCGGCGCGGTCCGCGACTGGTACTTCCACCCCCACCCCCGCCCCCGCCACCGCCTCCACGAGATGCCCCATCATCATGGATGTCTCCACTACGCCACTCACCCTCCATGTCTTCTCCATATCCATCGATCCTTTCACGTAAAGTAAAAGTGAACTCACTGTTTGTTTTCATCCAAATTGTGTCAATATCTGGCCTCCAGCTTTGCATGTTGAATGTAATTCGCCGTTTGCTACCCCAGTTGCGTTTATAAGATAGTGGAATTCGTTTTCATACTTGTTTCAATATACAACACGAAGTTTGATGACTTAGGATAAATCACGGTTTGCACAGGGAACTTTTCCTTTGCATAGGATTGCGGAAGAAAAATATGAACATTTTTGTGTTTTTACAAAACACTATGTTTGGATAGACTGACTCTGCCGACGTCTTCATGTTATGCTGACCATCAATAACTTATAATTTGATGTTATGGCCAACAAAAACGCTCTAAGTGCCAGTAAAGCGGCAACGTCTACAATATTTAATCTTCAATATCTTTAATTTGTTACCAAAGCACAAAAAATAAACTTTGTAAAAGAGTTATGGAGTTTTCCTGTTCGGTTCGGTCGTTGGCCAGAAGAGTTTTGAAGTTTCAAGTATCAGACTCGTCGAGATTATGTGTAGATGTAGGTAAATCGATTCAACATTGAGAAAGAATAACAAATTAGTTAGTTCGAGGGTATCCGAACACCGAAGAGTGCCCAAATGTATATGCTCATTACAAAATAGTATATATAAATTAGTCAAACAACTGCCTGGTGAATAGAAAAACACACCATCAGATATCGTTTGAAATCAGCATGCCCATTATTATAGCATAAACTACCAAATTTTTTAAATGTTTCACTAACGAATTTCCCAACATAGTTTAAGACCAAGAACAAATATTTGTTTAACCATGGGAAATAACACTACTTCAAATGTGACTTTGTATATAAATAGAGTTTGGTAAGCCGTAGAACCATTTATTCAATCCCAATAGTTCAATAGTTTGAAAGTTTACAAACTTGGCTACTGCCACGCGATCACGCTGGCTCGCACTATTGAACTTTTCTTGAGAGACAGCGAACTTGTTGGAACTTACCAGGTGAACTTGACGGTTGGTACAACATTGACTAGTACAACTATAGGGGAAAAATAATTTTTCAAATCGGTTATACCCCGCAATTTATGACTTAATCTTAAGACAATAGTATTGTATTTTATTCCAGCTAAATACAAAATGGTAAATGTAATCATTAAAATTGGGTTTGTAAAACAACTAAAACATTCCAAGTTTCACAATAAATAACTTCGTACCGAACTGGAATAGAACAGTGACTCTGACGTTTTAAGTGTCTCACAATGTTCAATAGCAATAAAAATAGTTTTTTTCTTTAATTTGTAAAACTTTTAATTAGTGATAAACACTAGTTACTATGAAACTACGTAAAACTAGAAAAGAATCTTTAAATTGGTTTGGATCGGCGTAATGTTTGAACTTGTTTGCGGAATATTAAGACAATTTTACTTATTCATATTGAGCTATAATGTTCCCGGACCTATGCAAGGTTTCTTTCATACAAGCATAGGCATAACCGAATCTTTCACCACCCTGACTCTCTATAAAAAAACGCAATTAAAAATCCTTTAGCTATTCTTTGCTCCTTAATAATCGGAAAAGTCGTTTAAGAAAGTTGAATCTCGTAGTTTAATTTTACTAGATAAATTCATGGTCCGATGTACATTTCATGAAATTCAGTCGGGTAAAAATAGCAATAGCAATCCGTTCGACACGTCGCTTGCTATTTTGTCATCCACCGAAGACGAAGATACGATAGTCGGAAATAAATTGATCAGATGGTATATCCTCCAGTGCCAATTTTGAAGGTGACCAATATCAAAAACTTAAGCATTTAGCATACCAATATGTTTCTTGTGACTTTTAACTTATGCAACATATTCAAAACTTATAATTCTCTCAGTATTCGATTATAAAATATTTCGCTGCGTTTTTTGAGCC